CCTGAGAAGAAGGCAGGCGAGAAGAAGAGACGGGCAGAAAGGAACAACCACTGGACGAAATACGGAAAGCCCATTTTGAAAACCAAGGAGGAGGCCTCTGCCATATGCACCAAGAGGTTTCCATTGCAATACCCTTGCATGATCAAAGGCTGCGAGACTGTGGCCAGCTCTGAACGACACATAATAAAGCATTACGTCCAGCACGGTCTGCCAAAACAGTACTTGGAGGAGCAGAGGAGCAACTATATACACTGCAAGAAGTTGCCACGGTCAAGGTACAAGCGCATCACGTCAAGGAGCGACGATACTGATAAGTCAGACGAAAGCTCCGTGGAGATGTCTGAGAATGAGAGGGCTGCAGACACTGCGCCAAGCGAGTCTGAATTTTCGAAGCCAGCATCCGAAAAGGAGACCACCGAGGATGCCAAACCGTCCACCGACACGAGCTCAGATATCTCTGTGGTGGTCAAGCGGAGAAGAGGCCGCCCACGCAAGGCGGCCTGTAATAGGAACAAACTTTTAACTCACAAAAGAGTGACGAGGCTAAGAACCGCACACAGTTACACTGTCAACTACGCAGATGTAAACTCGGACTCCACCTCGTCCAGCATCACGCTGCCGCAAGAGGAGGTACCCGAGCAAAAGTCAACGTTGAGCTCTTTCAAGCCGATGGGCTTTGAGGTGTCCTTCCTTCAGTTCCTGGAGCAGTCCAGCCAGTCCGCAGAAAAGAGGAAAGCTACGGTAGTGTTGGACGCTATTCCACGCAAGAAAACTACAACCGTGAAACTAAAGACTGCCTCTGTTGTGTGCAGTAGGTCCGATGTACTGAAACTTGTAGAATTTAAGAACCCTCAGAAGCTAACCTCCCTTAAAAACGTGACCTTTGAGGTGCACCGAGGTTTTTCAAACGTATTTGAACTCTTGCTGAAACAGCTTCATGAAATGCGCCCAGCCGTGGTGATTCAAAAAGAGGGTTTGTCTGACAGCATCTAACGTTAAGGGGTGGTACTCAGGGCATGATGTCCGACATTTCTGGTGGATTTAAACTGGCGTGGTCTCTGTGTTCGGACAGTAAACGTGCTGATTGAGTTGTTTGTTGGAATGTTTTTGTACGTTGAACAGTACATACCCTTGACGTTAATCGGCACCTGCTAATCACTCAACGGGACTGTGTGTATTAAAGTCATTTTGTAGTTGAAAACTAAAAGCGCAGATAATTATATACCTCTAAAGCATGCCCTTATGAAGCTATCCAACACAGTTTGTTGCCTTTGGAAATTAAACTTTTAAAGGAATAACAGAAGATTTTACTTTTTGGATATTCCACAGGATGTGATTTACTTTCGAAGTAAAATAGCCCCTCTTCCAGATGGATTGAAACTTCTGTAGTGCAGTGTGTAGATGATTAACTGTTTTGGTCTCGTTTATCTTGCATTGTAAATTTGAAAATTGTCTAAAATGTTGTGTCTGTGTGCACATAACGGTTCTCTGGATAATTACTGCCACCAGCAGTCTGTACCTTAAACAACTGAGACCAATTTATTACAGCTTGCATTTTGTACCACTGCGTTGTTGTCCTTATTTCCCTGATAGACAAGGTCTTTTATCCTTGTTGATATGAACTGTTTATCGACACTCACACGTTTTTCTGATTGATTATTCTTTTACATGATGCACCGACAGCTGTTCTTTTAGGCTTTTCCAAAAACTCAGTTTTGGATTTGGCTTGAAAGAAGGCTCTCATGTATGAAGCACCTTTATAATTCACACCAGGTTTTTATTTGTTTGGTTAATTGGGAGATAATGTAAATGGGGGTTTAATTGTATGTATTTTAGTTTGGTCACATGGTGATGCACTGGATATATTGCATTTATTATAAAAGATTCAAAGGTGAAATGTCTGCGTGCTAGTTTTTGTAAAAAACACACACAGCAAGAGAGAGGAAGCCACATGTTCAATGCTTGATACTACATGCAGAAATATTCTGCACTGAAATATTAATAAATAACTCATACTGCTGTTACATTTGTAGAGTAAAACAGTAGTTTTGCACTTTCTTTACCCACAAATGTAGTCAAGCCAAGACATGTTTGGTGGCTGAAGTCTTTAGCTGTAGCACTGGAGCTACAAGGCTAATAAAGCTAAGTAATGCACATGATTAGCCTTGTTAGCGTGGTGCTAACTGCATGCCTAAATCATCACCAACATCAAAATGTGGCTTTGTTAAAGCCCAATTGGTTTCTGACAATGTATGACACAATATTATCTATAAACATCGACTTAAGTATGCTACACACTTAAAGAGTTCTTTAAAAAGGGTTCTTTAGTAAAGAAAATGGTTCTATGTAGAAACACATTCAGAAATCGTTTGTATGATTAAAGGGTTCTTTGCTTTGTGAAAGGGCTCTACAGCTTGATGGAGAATGGGCTGTGTAAATAGTTCTATATCACACAAAAAAGGTTTCTTCTGTTGTTACAAGCTTGGCGTTGCAACAATAAAAGAACCCTTTAAAAAAGGTTCTGCAAAGGACCATCTGCAGCACATTCTGCAGCAATCTGACAAACCATTTTAGTCATGCAAAGAGTTCTTTGAGTGTTAAGGATTCTATGTAAAACCACTTTCTTTACTGAGGAACCCTCAAAGAACTATCTTTTAGGAGTGTAGCACTAGCAGTGGCCTGAATGTTGTTCCTATTTTTTAAGCATTTTTGAGGTAACTCAACACATGGACTGAGGCGAGTGTGATGATTCGGCACTATTTAGCGTCATGCTAATTGGTTAGTGCGAATAAGCTTCCATTACTTGTTAGCTCTCTCACTTGAAGCTCAGATAACCAAACTGAAAGATCTGAATTTGGATAAATTATGAGAAGAACCAGCTCATTGGAAAGGACAGTTATGTTTGATGGCAATCAGAGGAGCTATGAAGTCTGAGGACCCAAACAGGAGACAATACGTTCTGGAGAAACACCATCTATTTGATGAGGAGTCTGAATGATTTGATGGCACTTAACAACTTGTTAACTACATTAGCCTCATTTAGTGCCATTACTACATTTTGAGAGTAAAGCAGTTGTCAAAAAAAAAACACAGTTTTGCCCTTTTCTTACCCACAGCGCTCAATCTTCCAAGACATGTTTGGTGTCTGAAGTTTACTTCTTTAGTTTTAGCGCTTAGCTACGAGGCCAAGGTGTGGAATACATGGGGTTCTGGGGGGGGTCTGGGCCCCCTGATTAACCTCTTCGACCCCTGAATGTCTCAAAATCCAAATTCTTTGGGGTCCCTGAAAATAAAAACCTTGTGATGGTATGCTGTCTTGGAAAAAGACCCAGTTGGTCCTTCATAGCCTAGAAACTGTAACTCTGCCCGGATTCCTCTGAAAAACTTTACAATGAGCTGCAGCAGATCTGTAAATCTGAAAACTCGCCCAGTTTCCCAAGAGTTTGGAGTGAAGAGTGACTGTTCCTCATTTCTCACACTGAAGACAGAAGAGGAGACGAGGAAGATCTCAGTTACTGTGAGGAAGAGCGCAGAACCGCACTAGAACAGAGACTCTACAGAAGAGGAGACGAGGAAGATCTCAGTTACTGTGAGGAAGAGCGCAGAACCGCACTAGAACAGAGACTCTACAGAAGAACAGCTGATAAAAACAAACATTTACTGACGTTGAAGCATCAGCGCCGCTATGGAGAGAGAGTTAGCAGACAGAGACAACACGGGACCCCCGAATACCAGGGGGGGTTTCATACACTGTATGAGGCTAACGTAGCTAACAATGGAAATGACTGGCATTGTTAGTATGGTGCTAACTACATGCCTAAAGCATCAGTAACCCCAAAACGTGGCATTGTTAAAGCTCGAACAGACTTGCTAGTGTGGTTTCTGACACACACATTTTCTGAGCCGCTTATCCTCCTGGGCCACGGAAGGTGCTGGAGCCTATCCCAGCGCTCAGTGGGAGGAAGGCAGGAAACACCCTGGACAGGTCAGCAGTCCATCACAGGGCAGTGTATAACGTGTTTTATCCAATTTTGGAGGTTGATCAACGACACGTGGTTTGAGACAAGTGTGTGATGATTCAGCACCATTTAGCACCATGCTAATATGCTTCCCTTACTTGTTAGCTCTCTGACTCAAAGCCCAGATAACCAAACTGAAGATCTGGACAAGTTATGAGGAGAACCAGCTCACTGGAGAAGGCAGTTCTGCTGGATGGCAATTAGCGTAACCACGAACAAACCAAAGACGCCTTTGGTGGTGCTAACTGTATGCCTAAATCATCACTAGCCTCAAACCATGTGTCACTGTTGCAGCTCAAATAGACTTGCTAGCGTGGTGTCTGACACCGCATGACACGCTGTTATCTATAAACATGGGCTACAGTATGCTAGCTTAGCTAGCGGTAGCAGTGGCCTGAGTGTTGACCTTCCTTTTTGTCCATTTTACTCATTACTGAACAACGCACAGTTTGGGGTGAGCGTGTGGTGATTTAGTGCTGTGTTAACTGGTTAGTGCTACTTGTTAGCCTCTCTCACTGATCATAGATAACCAAACTGAAGATCTGAATATGGACAAACCAGAGACGGTACATTGTGGAGAAACACTGTCCACATGGTCACCTGGAGTCAGAATGGCTTGGCGGCATTTAATGACTTGTCAGCTACATTAGCCTCAGAGCTCCAGTCCTAAAACTAAAGAAGCAAATTTAAGACACCCAATAAGTCTCAGCTGATAGACCACGTTTGGCGTGAAGGAGGGAAAATGGGTCAGTTTTTGCCAAACTGTTCTGATGTTGGGAACTTTATGAATAAAGATCCTAATCAGGCTTGTTACTATAGCCGCACGTCTAAAACAGACTGTCCACTTTTTTTAGAAATAGAATGACTTTATTGACCAGTAGAGTAACACAAAGTGCATTAATATAAATTATAAATATTAATATAATACAAATTACAGTGTATATATATATATATATATATATATATATGTAACATCAGAGATAAATATAAAGGCACACAGGAAAAAAACGTATATGTTGCTATGTATACTGTATATATACATATTTCTGTGTGTAGAACTGAACGTGCTGCTCAGGTTGGTTCCTTCACTGTCTGTGTCGACTGAAACTGAATCATCTCTTTGCTCACAGATTCAGGCTTTAGTCCAGGTGAGCCCAGGATGAGGGTGGGTGGAGGATGACACCGGCACGCCCCCTTGTGGTCCACAGGAATGTACCTAATATTTAAGAAAAAATAAAAAATTATGTACACTACCACACAAAAGTTCAGAATCTGTTTTCAAGAATATAAAAGTTGTTGCGGATGAATGTAAGAATGATTGTTATGATGCCAATAATCTAGAACTTTATAGGCTTCGAATTACTAATATGATGCTGTAAAAATAAAGTACAGTGTTAGATGTGTCTAGAATGATGGACAGAGAGCTGTAGAACATCCAGAATAAAGTTCTGATAAAATTAATGTCCAGAATAAAGTTCTAATAATATTCACATCCAGAATGAACTTCTAATTATAATAACGTCCAGTATAAAGTTCTAATAAAATTAATATCCTGAATGGAGTTTTTTACAATTTACAAAGGACAAAATTACTTTTTTTAAAAATATCTCTATTATGTTTCTTAAAAGTAAAAACATTTAATATACTCACTGAGTCAAAGCAAAAAAAAAACAGGCATAACTTTGAATTTCAAAAACTTTGAAATATGAATGTTATCATTAAATAAAAACATAACGAAAAGGATGTCTTTACATTTTTCCTAAATGCTTAGAAAATGATGCAATTACTGAGGAAAAGAACAACGAAAATATGTTTTAGGGTTTTGTTTAAAAAATATAACATCGCTTGGCAAAAGAATAATTAAAAAGATAATCTCGATTTATCTTAAAATCGTTGATGATGTAATCACTGATTGGGAGCTCCACAGACCTCTTACTGAAGCACTTCCAGCACTGTTTGGACATGATGTACAGCATCTCAGTCACGTTGAGTACGATGCACAGGATGGACGTGCAGGCCATGATGTACAGGAAGACTTTCTTCTCCGTGGGTTTGGAGATGTAGCAGTCGACGGTGTTGGGACAGGGGCTCTCCTCGCACCGCAGCAGCCTGGGTACGTTGAAGTCGTACAGGAAGTAGAAGGTCAGAAGAGTGCCCACTTCGAAGGCGGTTTTCAGAATCAGGCTGAGCAGATAGGTGCACAGCAGGCCCCCGTCTATCCTGCCTTTATCCTCGTAGAGCTTCCTGCCATGCTTGCTCTCTCGGTGCTCCCGGTACGCCACGTGCAGCGCCACCAGCAGGGACGGAGTGGACACCATGATCAGCTGCAGCGCCCACAGTCGCATCTGATAACAATAAGGGACCCAAATACATACTTTCAGAGAGCAATCGGATTCGGACTATGGTAATAGGAGGTCTATGGCACTAACGGGTCTATGGTGCTAACAGGCCTATGGTGCTAACAGGGCTAAAATGTTAGTGGGTCTATGGCACTAATAAGTCTCTGAGGCTAAGAAGGCTATGATGTTATCAGGGGTATGGCATTAACAAGTCTATGGCGCTAGTGGGTTTATAGCACAAACAAGGCTATTGTACTACTGGTCTATGATGCTAGTGGGCCTATGGTTTTAACAGGGCCATTGCATTAACAAGTCAATGGCACTTACAGGTCTTCAGCCCTATGACAGTGGTGGGTCTGTGATGCTAACAGTACTATGGTGCTAATAGAGCTATGGCAGTAACAGGTCTATAGAGCTAACAGGTCTATGACACTGATAGTGCTGTGACAGTAACAGGCCAATGGTGCAAACAAGGGCTATGGTACTAACAGGCCTAAAATGCTAACAGGGGTTATGGTACTAACAGGTCTATGGTGCAAACAAGGGCTATGGTACTAACAGGTCTATGGTGCTAACAGGCCAATGGTGCAAACAAAGGCTATGGTACTAACAGGTCTATGGTGCTAACAGGCCAAGGGTGCAAACAAGGGCTATGGTACTAACAGGTCAATGGTGCAAACAAAGGCTATGGTACTAACAGGTCTATGGTGCTAACAGGCCAATGGTGTAAACAAAGGCTATGGTTGGTACTAACAGGTCTGTGGTGCAACCAAGGGCTATGATACTATCAAGAGCTAAGGTGCTAACAGGGCTCAAATGTTAGTGGGTCTATGGTGCTAACAGATCTCTGAGGCTAACAGGGCTATGGTGCTAATAGAGCTATGGCAGTGACAGGTCTATGGAGCTAACAGGTCTATGACACTGATAGTGCTATGACAGTAATAGGTCTATGGTGCTAACAGGGGCTATGATGCTAACAGGTCTATTGTGCTAACAGGGCTGAAATGTTAGTGGGTCTATGGTGCTAACAGATCTCTGAGGCTAACAGGGCTATGATGTCAGCAGGTGTGTGGGGCTAACAGGTCAGTGGCGCTGCACACGAGCGCGCTGTGTGTGAAGTGGACGTAGAGGCCGTGCCTGAGAGATGGGGAAGAACCGGTCGAAGCAGACGTTCTCGCAGCCGGGCTGCTTGGTGTTGCAGACAAACTCCTTGTTTTCATCTTTCCACACCTGCTCCGCCGCAGCCACGAAGACCAGGATACGGAAGATGAAGAGAACGGAGAGCCAGATCCGCCCCACCACCGTGGAGTACTTATTCACTCCGCTCAGAACGTTCTCCAGAAAACCCCAGTTCATCCCTGCAGGACACAGAGCAGACGAGCGGAACCAGGCGGCGGCAGCGTCCTGAGCCTGAACTGAGCTGGACAATCACATTAATGATAATCATAACGTTTTATCACATTTAGAGACACAACAGACGATTCGATATAAACAGAGTGAAGCTGTAGGAACACCGACCGTTTGGACCATAATGAACCCAAATGAACCCAAAACACTCGTTTTAACCCAAATGAACCCAAAACATGTTCAGTTTTCAATGGTTCAAAAGCAGCAAAGAGGCGATTAACGAGTCTACTGTATTAATCCTCTACAACTGCACAGGTTTATATAATAATAATATTTTATAATAATAATTGTTATTTATATAGCACTTTTCATGCCAGTGACAGCTCAAAGTGCTTTATAGACAGGTGATAATGTTAAAGAGTAGTACAAGAAATTATACATATTAATAAATATTACTAATTATTAATTAATTAATTAATTAATTAATAGTACCAACAATTTGTAGGAAGCTGAAAATAAATAAATAAATAAATATGTTAGATACAGTTGGTGTCCAGAATGATGAATAGAGCTGCATGACGTTATTATTAAACTAATATTCTGATTTTTTTTGTTTTATTTCAAAAATCACAACAAAATCTCACAAAAATTCTTGTAAATTAATAATTACAATATGTTAATTATGCTTTAATGTCTCCTTATTGTTGCTTAAGGTATTGAATAAAACATCTAAAAGTACTTTATTGTTTAGTTTAGAGTATTTAAACCTGCACTGGGTATCATTGTATATTAAATAAAATATATATATATATATATATATATATATATATATAAATATGAAAAGTGATTCCAAACCCTTGAGCCTTAATATATGCGCATATATTTAAGGCCATTTTCTCTTTCTGTTTATTTATTTAGCCCCAGTGTTCTGATATAAAGCTAGATTCAGACCTGTTCTGTAGGGTTCTTTCTTTTATAAAAGGTTCTGCTGTTGTTACAAGTCAAAGAACCTTTTGTCTGGTAAGAGTGGAACAACAGAAGAACCTTTTCAGTGCTATAAAGAACCAATTTTCTTTTAAAAAAGGTAGGTTCTCCATTACCAAGATTATACATAATAATAAAAATAATAACAATAATTAACGCAATAGAGAATATAACAAGTAACCGGCGTTAGAACCTTGTGAAGGAAACTGTAGCGTAATTAGAACAGCACGCATAAAAAGAACCATTTTCTCAACTGCAGGGAACCTTTTACGCAGTTAAACGGTTCTTCAAGTGGTCATGTCTGTACATAGAACCACTGTTTACTAAAGAACCTGCTTTAAGGGGCAGATTTATAAAACATAATATAACATTAACATAATATACATAATATACAACAACAAATAACAACATATAATCTACATCATATATAACATGTTATTAACATATTAAATCAACACAGCAGAATAAACAATACATAATAATAAATAAACAATCAACAAATGAACGAGCAGATCAGGAGTTGACCTTTGCTGACCTTTGCTGTCTGCAGGAGGCTCCTGAGGGTCTGTGTGTGGGGGCGGCAATGCGGACCCCCTGTTTAAAGCGGGGAAGCCCACTCACAGGTCTGCAGCGGCCGGTCCGTTTGGAAGCCAAATGCACCTGGCCGGGGTGCCGCACCTGTTTGGTTGCCGTGGGAACGGCTGACGTCTCTGTCTACAGTAAACAGTGTGGAGGGCGACACCTGAGATCCGCAGGCTTTTATTTTATATGACACTGTTAACGGACGGTCATTAGATTAACCAGCAGACAAAGGCACTTTAAATCCACTAAAACACATCCGCCCTCCTGCTGCCCCATAAAGACACACGGCAGATCTATTTATAGGGATATTTTTGCAGTGTATGAAAATGGCCAAAAATGTATTAAATATATTTTAAAATGCATTTATATTGTATATTTTCTGTTATATATTTATATTCTCTGCATGGTGAAATGGTCCGTCAGATTGATGGAGAGTGTGTTGTCTTGCGACAAGCTTGACATTGTAACCACAACAGAACCCTCTTTAGTGCTATATAACCATATGCAACACATTCTCCATCAATCTGAAGAACCATTTCACCATGCAGAGAACCCTTTAATCATGCATTATGGTTCTTTGAGTGTTCATGGTTCTATACAGATCCATTGTCTTTACTAAAGAACCATTGAGGTACCATCATTTTAAGTGTAGTTAAACTGTGGAGTTGTACTTATTGGAATGTAATGGTTTATGGCTAAACTGAAAAGTGCTTTATAAATATATATGCAAAGATGTATTAATATTACATTGTACTCTGTAGGGCAGCATGACAATATATATCATTACTGTGGTAAATTAGGTCATAATATAATACAATAAGCGTTTCTGATAATATCGTGTTTATCGTCAGTCTTTGTAGACACTGACCAACTGCATGATTCATCATAAAGAGAGTAAAATTAGTCCATTTAACTGGATTTAGTGACCAGTACTGAATAAAATCACTGTGTTCAGCTTTTGACCCCTATTTTTTAAAGTGCAGGTTCTTTTTTGTCACAGCTGATCAGATAGAATAAATATGAATAATAAGAATAAATATCGTAAATAAGTATTGCAGTATTATTTTTTTGCCACATCGCCCACCTCTAGCACATTACCAGTTTTAAAAGGCAGCCACAATTTTTTTTTTCAGTTCAGCATTTATTAGCTCTTCTTTTTATTTGATTTTACAATTATTTTATTTTTTTCGTTCCTATTCTTTCTATTTTTAATGCTTCATTTTCTTCTTTTTATAGCTTTTAATTCGATGCCATTTTTGCTGTACAGTCTTTACACTGCATTTTTATGTAAGAGAGATCTTATTATTATAATTATTATTATTATTATTATTATTATTGGTTCAGACGACAGTGGAGGCTGTAAGTACAGAGGAAACCGAGTGAGCCGAGTCTGTCCCGGCAGTGAAGGCCATGCAAATTTAACCACTACAGTGGGGTGTTTTTACCTGTTCATACATTATTAATGACTTCAAGGCCAAACAGCGTCACAGAGACGCCAGCGTTCTCACACAGCTGAGCTCCGAACAGCAGAGCAGCAATGCAGCACGCTTTACATCTAAACATGTCTGTGTAACGAGAACAACGGCTATAAACACAGATCCACACTCTTTAAAAAGGTTCTTAAAAAAGGGTCTTTAGTAAAGGCAGTGGTTCTATTTAGAATCATGAGTTCTTTAGAGAACCACCTGCATGCTGAAATGGTTCCCTGCATGGTGAAATGGTTCTTTAGACTGATGGAGAATGTGTTGTATATGGTTCTATATAGCACCAAAAAGGGCTCTGCTATTGTTACAGTGTCAAGCTTGTTAGAATAGAAGGAGCTTTTTGGTGCAATAAAGAACTGTTTTCATATACAGCACATTCTGCATCAGTCTGGAGAACCATTTCACCATGCAGGGAACCATTTAAGCATGAAATGGTTCTAAATAGAAGCATTCTCTTTATTAAAGAACGGTTGAAGAACCATTTTTAAGGGTGAACTTTTTATCCAATACAAAAGCATATGTACCAAATGTGTTTGATATGTTTCTGTATGTGTGTAACAACAATAATAATAATAATAATAATAATAATAATAATAATAATAATTAAGAGTGAGAGTGAATATGAAGTCGAAGGACGTGAGAGGCGCAGTGCGGAACTGAGAGCAGAGCGGCGCTCCGGCCGGCAGATGGCGCTGTGGCGCCGCAGAGCTTCAGCAGTGTTTTGTTGTCAGAGCAGAGAAGAGGCGCTGGGTGAGTTCAGAAGGTCTTGTGTTTTTGTAAAATAGTTTAATTTAATGAATCTGAAGCTGATTATGGATTAATTATGTTTGTATTTCAGTGTTTGTGATGGAGCCGGACAGTAAAGATCAGTACCGGAGTCCCGGACTGAGAGGCATGAAGAGCACAACGTTATTCAGAGCAGTTAATCCAGAATTATTCATCAAACCTGTAAGATTAAACCCTCTACACCAGCAGAACACTACACTGAAACTGTAAGATGCGATACTGTTGTGCATTAAAGGGGAATTCCACCCGTTTTCCACAATGCCCCCATAATTCAGTGTGTGAGGTGTAATCAGAGAGATTCCGAGGGGTTTAGTGTGAAATGGTTCAGATGTCTTTACAGTGGTGGTGATAGGAACCAGGGGTCGCCATGACTACAACACAAATATAGACATTTTATTTACTACCCAGAACCACCAGTGAACCTACACGAGTCTTCTGAGTTTATATGAATGTTGATGATGGAAAATAGTGGAAAATCTGAAATAATCAGTTTTCTTTGGGGACTATTTTGCCTCACAGCGCCCTGCATGTATCCCTCCACCATGAATGGAGTTTAAGTTCTCTAAACTATCATAAAACAGTGTCTCAGTCATCAGGCAGTGAATTCATAACCATTTCATGTAGGAACTTTCTGTGAGGGAGCTTTTAGAGGTGGACGTCTGGTTCCTATCACCACCACTGTGAACAGTTCTGACTCGGTAAGTTTATCTAGAACAGAGCGTTTCACACCAAACCACTCTGAACGATTCTGTTTACATCTTAACCGTTTAATTGTGTGAAATTTTGAATAATTGGTGGAGTTCCTCTTTAACTACTGTCAAGCATTTTAAAGAGCCCCTATGACCGAATACTGTATTATCCTCCCTGCTATTGCAGAAGGAAACCATGTAGTGGACGATAAATCATATCAGACAGCTCGGTGTCCTGTTTCCGACCTCCAAAGCGCTTATAGAGTTTAAAAGTTTCCCTGTCACCTTCAACATACATCATCAGAAGGGGGTTTTCCTCTTTAACCTGGAAAATCTGACTCTTCAGTTGGCTGTTTCCTCCACCAGCACGTCTGGTTCTGACTTGCTGAAATGTTTTTGGACGTTTGGTTTGATTTTGTTCTTCATTTTGCTGTCCTCGTTTAAAAAAACAGTTAATGGAAATTCGGCAGCATTTCTGGTAAATTGTAACATGATATTGAGAGTCTACATGACAAACTTTCGTAAGAGAACAGTCTTCGTCAGAACTGCGTAAATTTCTTCTTAAGGACGGTTGGAGAATGAGGCCCATTTTTATAAACTTCTTAGTGTTTGTCTTAATAAATCCTTCGTAAGTTTTTCTTTAGGGAAGCTTTCGTAAATCCAGTACGTGATTTTTTTTTTGTTTAATGACATCACCACGCACCAGTGGGTGGGGCAAAATAATATTGAAAAAATATCCTATAAACTATTATTTATACTGACTTTTAGAAAAAAGGCTGAAAAACTACAAGTACAGTCTTATTTATTTATTTATTTGCCAAAATAAACTATTTAAGAAGAAAAATACAAAAAATAAAACATTGTGGTAGCAAATTAACATAAATAAATTTGACCAACACAATATAAAATAAGATGATGTCAGAACAAACTGCCATCCAATCAGCTGCTTTGCTGTACACTGGTTGTTGTTGTTTACAGGCCCTGCAATTGGTCACTTTTTACAGTCCGTGCAGTTCTAGACGTGCTGATCGAACCCATCGTACAGTTGTATGCCAAAGTTTGTGCACCCCTGGCAAAATTCCATGTTTATATCGATGTTCTGAGTGTGAATAAGTAAACGCATCCTCTACTGAGGACACACTTCTGCACATTTTAATGCACAATTACTGTTTTTTTACTGAATTTAACACATTGGGGGGAAAATACACAATAAAACATGGCCCAGTGCAAAAGTTGTGGCACATTTTATATTTCATGCTTTAAATAACTTTTTCTCCAATATTTGTACTACAATATTTACAGTTACATTCATTAAACACTGCACAGATGTTGACATTCCAAGGCACCTTGTATGTATATATGCCTGACTACACTACTTGTACACGGGGCCTCTGCAATTCAGCCAAGGTGTAATAAACTCAAGTGCAAAATCTCAGCTGCTGTATACATTTTATTTATTTATCTAAATTTAAATGCGAATAAATAGACGTTGCCATAAGCGTGTTCTCTGTAGAGGACAGCACTGCTGTATCTGATCCACTGATCCACAGAAAAGAGTGTCAGACCAGAATTTATCACTTTAATATACTGTCATATCACCCACCCTTGTGTTGTGTACATAAAAGTCTCTGCTGTCTGTTGGTGTCTCCTCCTCCTCAGAATAAGCCGGTGATGGCGTTCGGTCTGGTCACCCTTACGCTGTGTGTGGGGTATCTGGGTTACCTGCACGCAGTGAAGGAGAACGCACAGGAGCTCTACGAGGCCGTAGACAGCGAGGGGGAGAGATACATGCGCAGGAAGAGCTCCAAGTGGGACTGAAGGGGAACGTTGTCTTCTGTCCACGTCAGTTAAACAGCAAACAGAGACGTCCAGAGACTTAATACATTATGAATTAATGCATTAATCATACATTATTATAATGATTTTGCAGGAATCCCTGTTTCCCAGCTCTGGTCAGTAGCCCGCTGGACAGGTTGGGGTTTTGCTCTAGTTTACCTGATTGAGCTCCGTAATGTGGCTCAGGTGTGTTAATGTGTATATAAGCAGCACAGAGAGATTTTGTTTGTTATAATAAACTGTTTATCGGTGCTGTTTTTGTCCCTTTATAAGAGAGGAGAAAATTATATTCACTGTCTGAATCTCGTGTATTTCTAACTATCAGGTCTTAATTTGGAGGACTGTATTTATATTTATGAATATATAGTGTTGTGAAAAAGGTCCAAAACAACTAATTGAAATTGTTTTTTTATTACTATTATTACCCGATTTTCCGCACTTGGCTGGCATTGCGCTGAGTGCAGGCAGGGTGAGGGGAGGCTCTCTTCGACTCCCAAACACAGGAATGGAACTTGCAATCTCCACAAAAATAGAGCCGACGTGTAGAATTGCAAATATCCTCTACAGCGGGAGCGTCAAACTGGGTTCCTTCCAGGCCACAGCTCTGCAGAATAATCAAAAAAAAAGCAATTGTGCCTTAAAACAGGCAGGCATTGAGACTGTGTATTCTGCCTCGCCTCATTCATTCATCACTCAGCGACTAATTCAATTCAGTGTTAGCTGAAGAGAGCTTTTAGAGGTGGACGTCTCGTTCCCTTCACCACCACTGTGAACAATTCGGACTCAGTGGGTTTCTCTTCTATATAGAACCATGAACACTCAAAGAACCATTTTCATGCTTAAATGGTTCTTTAGATTGTTCAAGAATGTGTTGTATATGGTTCTATACAGAACCTTTTCTTCTGGGTTCTGCTGTAGTAATGATGTCAAGCTTAAAACAATAGAAGAACCCTTTCTAGTGCTATATAGAACCATATATGACACATTCTCCTTCAATTGTTCCATCTCCAGCAGCACTGTATCTGATCCACTGCAGATCGAATGAGAGAATGACCCCACCACCCAAATAATACCTGCTCTGTGGGGGTCCTGACCACTGAAGAACAGGGTAACAAAGTATGCAGAGAAACAGATGGACTACAGTCTGTAACTGTAGAACTACAGAGTGAGACTATACGGTCAGTGGAGCTGATACAGTGGACAGTGAGGTGTTTTTAATGAAGTGGGTTTGTGTATGTTAATATATATTTAATACAGTCACACTGAAAGCCATGCAGAGAGTCTGGAATGCACACTAGGCTGAGTGTGTGAACCAGGCTGGGTTACTTCAGGCAATCAAAGTAGCTTTTCCTGTTCTTCTCTGTGAATTTCTTCAGGCTGATGTCAGTAGAAAAACAGCTTGTAGCCGAAACTGGAACAAACCTGAACTGGACAAACGTGTCAGGGTGGACGAAAAAGAGAGAAACCTGTATTGGAGCACTTGGCTGAGGGTGTAGACTCAGTAAAATCAGACAACAGAGAAAGAGGTCAAATCAATGACCTACACTGACCACTGAACCGGGTAAAAGACCCTGCAGGCGTTCACCACCAAAGCCATTATCATACATGCACACATGCCTGCACTGAGTGTCCAGACTCACTATTAAAGAGAATTCCACACTTATACAAAACAGAGTCGTTCAGAGTGGTTTGGTGTGAAACGCTCCGTTCTAGATAAACTTACTGAGTCAGAACTGTTCACAGTGGTGGTGATAGGAACCAGACGTCCCCCTCTAAAAGCTCCCTCACAGAAAGTTACTACATGAAATGGTTATGAATTCACTGCCTGATGTCTGAGACACTGTTTTATGATCGTTTAGAGAAGATTTTGGCCTCAAATTTACGAATGTCTTCATTAAGTTGTGGTGGGAATTCTATTCTCTCCTCCGTCCGTCATTAGACACTAATTTAAATAGCTTAACGACTGTGATGGAGCAGGTTGTGTAATGCTGCTGCTGAAAACACTGCTAATAGCTACACACTTAAAAAAGAGGGTTCTGCAAGGGTTCTTTAGTAAAGGCAATGGTTCTGTTTAGACCCATGAGTTCTATACAGAACCATTTGCATGCTGAAATGGTTCTGTGCATGGTGACATGGTTCTTCAGATTAATGGAGAATGCATTGTATATGGTTCTATATAGAACCTTTTGGAAAATGGTTTGACTGTCACAATAGCAGAACCCTTTTTTCTGCTAGATAGAACCATTTTTGGAAACAACGCATTCTCCATCAGTCTGGAGAACCATTCCATCATGCGAATGGTTCTTCGAGTGTTTATGGTTCTATTAGAACCATTGTCTTTACTGAAGAACCGTTGAAGAACCTTCCCTTTTTAAGATTGCACAGTAATATAATTATTAAATAAGTGTTAATAAAAAATAAATAAATAAAAAATAGTTAATTAAACTCTCCTTTGGAGAATTAGGGTTTGACTCTATTGAAGAACCCTTTTTGGTGCTGTATACACACTTAAAACGGATGGTTCTTCAAGGGTTCTTTAGTAAAGAAAATGGTTCTATATAGAACCATGAACACTCAAAGAACTTTGCATGATTGAAGGCTTCTTTGCATGGTGAAATGGTTCTTCAGATTGATGGAGAACATGCTGTAGATGAAAAAAAAGGTTCTTCTATTGTTACAAGTTTGACATCGTGACAATAGAAGAACCCTTTATGGTGCTATTGAACCATTTTCAAGAAGGTTCTATATAGAAGCATACACAAGACATTCTCCATCAGTCTGAAGAACCATTTCTTGCTTTAATCATGCAAAGGGTTCTTTGAGTCTATATAGAACAATTTTCTTTACAAAAGACCACTTGAGGAACCACGTTTTAAAGGTCAAATTCTCCATCAGTCAGAAGAACTTGCAGAAGAGAAGAACATGCACAGGGTTCTTCGACTGTTCATGGCCCTACAGAACCATTTTCTAAAGAACCCTTGAAGAACCATCCCAGATTTGTGTCCCAGAGTAAGTAAAGGTCGCACTTCCCTCTCCAGTGTGCAGTGAACAGCGCGTGTGGAGCTGCAGTGTGTTTGGCTGCTGCTGTCTCCGCCCTGCAGGCCCTGAGTTAATAAAGCAGCTCCTCCTACACCTCTCCTCCCTCTCCTCCCTCACTCCCTCTCTCTCCCTTTCAGCCCCATTCACCCTCACTCTCCATCCACCATGGCGGCCAGCCGGAGCATCTCCGTCCGTCCCGCGGCTGTGAGCGGGGCCGGAGCGGCCTGCGACCCGCAGTAAACCCGCCGGAGCCGCTGCTGTCCGAGAGTCTGTGCGGAGATGAGCGAGTCTAACGCAGGTAACGCGGCGTTCTGCTCTAGAACCCACTTTAGGAGGACAAACTGTTCTTCACTGAGCTGCAGAACTTCGGTTCCCCTCTCCTCCGAGTGTGTTTTAGCATCTTTAGCCTGTTTATGTCAGTTTGGTGAAGTCAGCTTAGCTTCTTGTTCGAATTTCCCCGTTCCACCTTAAACTGCAATGTGACGCTGCACCATTTAAGGTGGAACGGGGAAATTCGAACAGGAGGCTGGCGAACGAGAAGCAACTTCAGCCTCGTAGTTTGGTTGCTGTGTGTAGTGGAGAGACAGAGCTGGGTTGCCAGGCGTGTATAAATCCCCCTTGTTGAATGAGTGGGAGAACTGGAGTTAATTCTGAAAGAACAGAGGATATAATTCATTTAACGGGCTGTGTGAAAAACCCGCGGCGTGAAAATGAAACTACTGGCTTTTAACGTGTTTTTAAAGCTAATTTGATGGACATAAGACGGACACCATCATTGGGGTTAAACAGTAGAAGGCCTGTAACCAACGAGGGGAAACACTGAGGGCAGTAAATACACCATGAAAAGTCTCACTCTCTTAATATCACTCTTACAAACATGGTTCTTCAAGGGTTCTTTAGTGTTTACAACCATTAGCTCTGTATAAAACGTTTTGCATGCTTAAATGGTTCTTTGCTTGGTTGAAATGGTTCTTCAGTTTTACATTGTGTGCTGCATGTGGTTCTATTTAGAGCCTTTTTGAAAATGGTTCTATACAGCAGCAAAAAGCGTTCTTCTATTGTTAAAGGCTTGACATTGTAACCACAGCAGAACCTTTTATATAGAACAATCTGCGTGCTTAAATAGTTCTTTGAATGGTGAAATGGATTGCCTTATTGATAGAGAATGTGCTGTATATGGTTCTGTGTAGAATCCTTTTGAAAAAGGTTCCTTAAAGCACCAGAAACATTCTTGTATTGTTACAGGCTTGACACTGTAACCACAGCAGAACCTTGTTTGGTGCTATATAGAACCATTTGCATGCTTTTTATGGTTCTCTGCATGGTGTAATGGTTCTTCATATTGATGGAGGATGTGCTGTATATGGTTTTATATGGAACCTTTTTGAAAATAGTTCCCTGTAGTACCAAAGGTTTTTGTTACAGGCTTGACACTGTAACCACACCAGAACCCTTTTTGGTTCTATATCGAAACATGTGCAGCACATCTGAAGAGCCATTTCACCATTCAGAGAGCCATAAAAGCATGCAAATTGTTCTCCGTAGTACTCATGGTTCTAAATAGAACTGTTCTCTTTGACTAAAGTAATTTAAGTAATTAAAGTCTCTGATATTTTTTTTACATTGAGTTTGTCTTTGTGGTGTTCTTTATTTTTAAAATGTATTTTTTTTTTGTCTATTTTATGAGTTACTATTGCTAACTCTGTTAGTATTACCTTGTTTGTTTGTGTGTGTGTTTGTTTGTTTGTAAATATAGGTGTTTTAAGTAAAGCTCTTGTGCAAGTTTGTTTATTTTCTCTTGCAGAAATGCCCACCCGGCCGGTTTTGCCTCAGGATCATGTGCTCCGCTCCGGTGCGGTCATTTACCCTGGTGAGCTGTTTGCATTTTCATTTCTTTGGTATTTCTTTTGTGTGAGTGTTTATGTGTACGTGTGAGAGTGTGTGAGAGTGTGAGAGTGAGTGTGTGTGTGTGTGTGTGTGTGTGTGTGTGTGTGTGAGAGTGTGTGTGTGGCCCATATCCTACCTTTTTATAGTTATTTTTACTCTGGGAGTTATTTATGGTGTTCGTGTGGTTTTGTGTACCAATTAGTATAACAACTAATTTCTACATGACGGTTTAATTTTTTTAACAGATTTTTTTCTTACTGTCCCTTTAAGATTGATATTTGTAAATGAGCTCTGTTCTGATTGGCTGCCCTTTACTGTGCCCCATTAAAAAGGTAGTTTGAAACTCACCTAATAATGTCAGTATGAATGGGACTAAGCTGCTGTAGACTGAATAGTCAGATATATGTAAATGTGTGGGTTTTTGTGACATCACAAAACAATCAATTAAAAGCAGGCTTTTCCATATATGGACTGAGGAAATGGCACTCTTTGAAACTTTAACAGTGATTTACAAACTACATTAAACTCTAATTAAAAAGAGAAGCAGATTTGGCCATGAAATGGGAAGATTCCCCACCTGCTAGACTCGACAGTGAAGAAGGCATAACATACAAAGAATGGATGAACTGTGAATTTTAAGCCCTTCACAGTTAATAAATGATGCAGGGCTTCCTTTCAACCTCATAAACAAAAGGTTTTCAGGTGGCAACAACGTTGCTGGTGTTTCTACCCTCAGCTAAAGTTCAACAGTGTAACACAAATGAAGCTCTGTATTTTAGACTAGAGCTGACACTCAGAGCTGTGTTTGTGCCCACAGGTGCGTTTGACCAGCACGGCTGTCCTCTGGTCGTGTTCCCGGTGGAGTCTCAGGATAAACTGGTGTCTGAACTGACCAGGGAGGAGGTGGCCGACTTCATCAGATACTTCCTGCGCCTGCACAGGTGTGGATACTGAGAGTGAAGTGGAGTGAACATTATAGAGCAGTAGAAGCCGTATCGCCCCCTACACTTCCTGTAGTGTATTACAGTCTGTCAGAGTGACTGTGTGGATCATATGAACATTATAGAGGCTTTTTAAATGAAACAGTAGAAGCCATATCGCCCCCTACACTTCCTGTAGTGTATTAGTCTGTCAGAGTGACTGTGTGGATCAAATGAACATTACAGAGGCTTTTTAATGAAACAGTAGAAGCCATATCGCCCCCTACACTTCCTGTAGTGTATTACAGTCTGTCAGAATGACTGTGTGGATCATTTGAACATTATAGAGCTTTTTAAATGAAACAGTAGGAAACATAGCGCCCCCTGTGGTGTAGTTTTCGTGCATGGCAACTGCCTAGCAACACTTTCACAGTTGCTTGAGATTCCATAGGAATAGCCAGCAGTCTAGCAACACCTTAGTAACTATCTGGGATAACAGCAATGGCCTAACACCTTAAGGACCACCTGGAATTCCGTAACAGAGGCCTAGCATCTTAGAAAACTGACATAGCAACACAATAGCAACCACCTAGGATTTCATAGCAATGAAATGTAAAGTTTGTGAACTTTCCCCTTGAATTTGCCTCTTACAATACGATGCCGAAGTTCAGTACACATTTTTATGAAAAAGTTAAAGATGTGTTGTTTGAGCTGTGCTGTGTTCTGATGTCCTCGTTCTCTTCCTGCAGTAAGAGTAAAGAGGACTGTTTGGTGTCGGTGGTTGCTGATCTGAGGGAGGCGAACCTCAGCATCGCCAGGCGAGTGGCTGAAAGCCTTCTGCTGCTGGAGGTATTAAACACATCCTCACTGGAGCTCAGCTGCTGCTTCAGGGCGTGACGGAGCACATGAGGGCTTCAGACGTCACAGCTCAGACCTCACTGAACTCTCTTAAAGCACTTTGTCCTGCCTGAGTTTATATTCCTGCAGAATATTTCAGCAGAAGCAGGCATGTTGTGCAGTGATATTACAGGACAGCTCCACCGATTTTTCAAAATTCCTCCGTAATTGAGTATTTGAGGTGTAAACAGAGATTCAGAGTGGTTTGGTGTGAAATGGTTCAGATGTCCATACAGTGGTGGTGATAGGAGCCAGGGGTCGCCATGACTACAACACAAATATAGACATTTTGTTTACTATCCAGAACCACCAGTGAACCTACATGAGTCTTCTGAGTTTACATGGAATGTTGATGATGGAAAATAGTGGGAAGACTAGCACCAGGCAAGTACCTCTGAATTTTGAAAATACATTTTTAGGTCAAAACTTTTCTTAAAACTATCCTCTCAGTCATCAGGAAGTGAATTCATAACCATTTCATGTAATAACTTTCTGTGAGGGAGCTTTTAGAGGTGGACGTCTGGTTCCTGTCACCACCACTGTGAACAGTTCTGATTCGGTAAGTTTTCTAGAACAGTGTTTCACACCAAACCACTCTGAACCTCTCTGTTTACCTTTTAACCACTTAATTATGCAGGAATTTTGGAAAATGGGTGGAGTTCCCCTTTAACATAACTTGACAGTCATTACTGACCAAACCATTTTTTTTTCAGTAAAAAGGTCACAGAAGATAGTCAGTTGATTAACATAGTTTCTGAAGTGGAGCAACTTAAAGAATTGATTGTTTTCTCAGATGTTTTTTTACTGGTCTTTTTTTACTGTAGTGACGTCACGTCTCTCTCTCCCCCTTTAATCTTATTATGTAACTCCTTTCTTTTTAATTTGAAGAGCCTCCTGTTCTGAGGTTGCTGTTGAGTTCGCTGCGCTGCCCGTGCGTCATTTCCGTGTGTCTCTAACAGGGTTAGGGGGGTTTTGAGGGGGGTGAGGAGTCACATGCGTTGGGTGGTGGGGTCATATGCCTTCACTTACCTAATGAAGAGTTCAGCCTGAGTGCTCTTATCTGCCCTGCATCGCCACAGAGACTTTCCACACTTTCACTCCATTCACACGGTGTTCAGCAGCGAAACCTCCAACGCTTCAGCGCTCTGATGTGGAAAATGTTGTTTTCTCAGGCTGATTAAAGAGATAGTTCAGCCAAAAATCACATTGCCAAACCCTCACCCCACCTGCAAGACTCGAACTGAAGCTTGTATATTGTGTTTAGATTGATTATGAAAGTTAATTATTTGGTTTACATTGGTTAAGAACGCTAGTTATTGAGTTTAGATTGGTTATGAAGGCTGGTTATTGGGTTTAGATTGGTTAAGAATGCTAGTTATTGGGTTTAGGTTGGTTGTGATGGCTAATTATTGGGTTTAGATTGATAATGGGTGTAATGGTTACTGATCATTTGATTATGAAGATTAATGTCTGTGTTGAATCCTCTGGTAGCTCCACAGGCGGACGGTCCACTCTGTATATGTGGTTCAGCCCAGAAAGCGAGATGTTCTGAAGCTGCTGCCGAAGCTCCTGCTGCCGGGAAAAACCAAACACTCGGCACACGCCACCTACAAGGTACCGTAGCACATCAGTCTGATTGGAACCGCTATGATCGGAGTAACAGTTGACTGAATTAATCATTCAGTCAGTTTAATACAGCAAAGTCTTAATTCAGTACATTCAGTACAACAGAAATAAGGAGTACCTGAAAATGTGCCTTGTGCTAATGTCAGTGTTAGGCCTCAGCTAATGCCCTAGCCACCAGCTAATATTTTAGCACTGACCTTACAGACCCTGCCTTGAGCAGAGTTGAGGTGAACACAGTGGCCAGAAGCCAATATTAACCCTGTGTTGATTCCCTAGCCATGAGCTAATGTGTTAGCCCTGAGCTTACACACCAGCCACAGGCTAATATGTTGAGCCCTAAGGTGCTATTCACAGCCAAGCTAATGCACCAACCGGAAGCTACTCACTGGCCATGGGCTAATATGTTAGCCACAAGCTAATATATTAGCCCTGACCTAACACACTAGCCATGAGCAGTTGTTAGCCCTCAGCTAACGTGCTAGTCACAAAACATTGATACAGCTATAGAAAACAATGTTACAGTGCAATAGGAAGCAATAAAACATAGTATCTGTTATTTTCTGCAGTATTAAAAACTAATTATTTTTATATGCAATTGTATAAGCAGTAAAATGCAATAAGCGTGGACCTACCTGGCTGAGGTATATTTAAATATATACACTCCTAAGCCCTGTTTCGTCCCATACAACCCTGCGTGCACACGGCCAGGGATAAAATCGCTCTGTATACTGAAGCTGAAACTTGTGTAAATTTACCTCCAAAAGTATTAATATAGAAAATAGTTTGCATTAGTTGAGCACTTTCTGTAGTGTTATTTTCTATAGTCTGTTAACACTAAACGATATAATCTAACCTGTGTGTTTCCTTTGAAACAGTGTGTTCTCCTTAAAGAAGTGTGTGAACTGTGGAACTACATTGACCGCAGCCAGCTGACCGCCAGTCTGGGAGGATATCTCGTCTACTGCCACAGTAGCTGGGTCAGCTTCGTTAAGGTCAGTACCAGTTAACCTGCTTCATGTGCTTAGATTGACCTTGTTTTGTTTACAGGGGAATTCCACCCATTTTCACTTATTTCGCCATAAAGGAGTGTTTATGCAAACAGGGTTTTCTTTGGGGATTATTTTTGCCTCACTGGGTTTTAAGTTCTCAAAACTATCATAAAACAGTGTCTCAGTCATCAGGCAGTGAATTCATAACCATTTCATGTAGGAACTTTCTGTGAGGGAGCTTTTAGAGGAGGACGTCTGGTTCCTATCACCACCACTGTGAACAGTTCTGATTGTAAGTTTATCTAGAACAGAGCGTTCACACCAAACCACTCTGAACCGCTCTGAATGACTCTGTTTACATCTTGACCACTTAGTTATGGAGAAATTATGGAAAATGAGTGGAGTTCCCCTGTGTGTGTTGGCTAGTAGATGGTGGTTGGTGTGGGTCATCAGGGCTGAATGCGTGTTTTCAGGATCATGTGATCCACAGACACGCATCGCTGCTCAGGAGACAGTAATGTGTGTGAGCGCTTGGCAGCTGTAAAGGTTGAAGCTCTGGCCAAATCGGACACTGATTAGTTGCGTGTGTGTGTGTGTGTGTGTCTGTGTGTGTGTGTCTGTGTGTGTCTGTGTGTGTGTGTCTGTGTGTGTGTGTCTGTGTGTGTGTGTCTGTGTGTGTGTGTCTGTGTGTGTGTGTGTGTGTGTGCGCGCGCGCGCAGTCATGATGTGTGTGAGCTGCTCTAACAGGTTCTTCACGCTGCTCTTCCTCCACACACTCGACTCTTTTCAGCTCAAACTAAGCTAAAGCTGAGTGCGAGTGCAGGTGGTGAAACACCTGTAAGAGTCGGAAAACACAGATTTTAGGCAGCATTGCTACGGCAACCAGAAAACTGCTGATTTCCTCATGTGTGTGTTTCACTCACTGATTCTTCCCCTGTTGTGTAGGGTTGCCAGATTTGTGGTTTTCCCACCACATTGGGTGAAGATGGTAAAGTTGTGGGGGACTTTTTTTAAAAATATTTTTAAAGCTAATTTCTAAATGTGCTGCAGCTGCAGAAAAGAGTTTTTATTTTTATTTATTTATTTATTTATTTATTTTATTTCTGGCTATTTAACTATTAATTAAAAAGGGTGGTCCACCTCCTCATCCTGATTGGTTGGACGTGGGTGGTCCTGCCTCTTGTCCTGGTTGGACGTGGGTGGTCCACCTCCTTGTCCTGATTAATTGGATGTATGTGGTCTCGCCTCCTCGTCCTGATTGGTTGGACTAGGGTGGTCCACCTCTTCGTCCTGATTGGTTGAACATGGGTGGCCCAGCTCCTCGTCCTGATTGGTTGAGGGTGTGTGGTCCCGCCTCTTCGTCAAAATTAATTGGATGCATGTGCTTCGCCTCCTCGTTCTGATTGGTTGGATGTGGGTGGTCCGCTTCCTCGTCCTGATTGGTAGGGGGTGTGGGGTCCTGCCTCTTGTCCTGTTTGGATGTGGGTGGTCCCGTCTCTGTCATGATTTAATTGGACATGTCGTCTCGCCTCCTCGTCTTGATTGGTTAGATGTGGGTGGTCCCCTTCCTCGTCCTGATTGGTAGGGGGTGTGGTCCCGCCTCTTTGTCAAAATTAATTGGATGTATGTGCTTCACCTCCTCGTCCTGATTGGTTAGATGTGGGTGGTCCTGCCTCTTGTCCTGTTTGGACGTGGGTGGTCCGCCTCCTTGTCCTGATTAATTGGATGTATGTGGTCTCGCCTCCTCGTCCTGATTGGTTGGACTAGGGTGGTCCACCTCTTCGTCCTGATTGGTTAGATGTGGGTGGTCTGCTTCCTCGTCCTTATTGGTTGAGGGTGTGTGGTCCCGCCTCTTTGTCAAAATTAATTGGATGCATGTGCTTCGCCTCCTCGTTCTGATTGGTTGGATGTGGGAGGTCCGCTTCCACGTCCTGATTGGTAGGGGGTGTGGGGTCCTGCCTCTTGTCCTGTTTGGACGTGGGTGGTCCCATCTCTTTGTCATGATTTAATTGGATGTATGTGCTCTACCTCCTCGTCCTGATTGGTTGGATGTGGGTAGTCCTGCCTCTTGTCCTGTTTGGACGTGGGTGGTCCCGTCTCTTTGTCATGATTTAATTGGACGTGTGTCGTCTCGCCTCCTCGTCTTGATTGGTTAGATGTGGGTGGTCCCCTTCCTCGTCCTGATTGGTTGGATGTGGGTGGTCCTGCCTCTTGTCCTGTTTGGACGTGGGTGGTCTGCCTCCTCATCCCGATGGGTTGGACGTGGGTGGTCCCGTCTCTTTGTCATGATTAATTGGACATATGTCATCTTGCCTCCTCGTCTTGATTGGTTGGACGTGGGTGGTCCACCTCCTTGTCCTGATTGGTTGGACATGGGTGCTCCGCCTCCTCGTCCTGATTGGTAGGATGTGCGGTCCTGCCTCCTCGTCCTGATTGGTAGGACATGGGTGGTCCACGTCCTCGTCCTGATTGGTTGGACGTGAGTGGTTTGCCTCCTCGTCCTGATTGTTAGGATGTGTGGTCCCGCCTCTTTGTCATGTTTAATTGGATGTATGTGCTTCAGCTCCTCGTCCTGATTGGTTGGTTGTGGGTGATCCTGCCTTTTGCCCTGTTTGGACGTGGGTGGTCCGCCTCCTCATCCTGATTGGTTGGACGTGGGTGGTCCACTTCATTTGTTCTTTTGTTGTTACTCTAATGTAAGAGCAGGTGAAACTCAGGCTTTTGTCTTCTTATGAATTAAAGTTGTGGATTTGCGTCATCTGCTGCGTGAGCGCTTTGATCCTGCATCTCATTAATGAAGCTGCTGTTTCCATGGAGACACGCACTTCCGCAACCACGCACGCATCCGCCTCATTAGCAACTCAAACGATGGTGGAGAGACTCGGCGCTGCCGTTCTCGCTCTTTCTCTGAAGCGCAGCTGAAGGTGGTGATTCTAGCGGTTTGTTGGTGAGATGCTCCTGATTTTGAATGATGTTTAATGCGTTTGTGATGTTTTCAGGGCTGTAGAGTTTCTGCTCCTGAATTATACGCTCTGTGTTTTAGTGCCGGTCTTTAAATCTTCAGGTCGCAGTGACTTATTGCATTTGGATGCTGTTTTCTTGTGTGGATTTATAAGTAGTTGTTTAATTTTTTTAATTTGTTATTATTGTATTACTTAAATACTGTTTAAACTGTTTGACTCCAAGACACCAGAGGTTTAATTAGTTGGAACAGAAAAAGGAATCAGTGTTGCTACATGAAATATGTGGAGTCAGACGTATTAAATAAAATGGAATTCAATTTCACAGAACTAATTATACTTGCTTTAGCAATAAGGTGTCGTAATTGACAGGCTTCACTAAAGAACAGCCTAGAAAAACAAGAGGCATCACATATAAATGTGTACAACAAAAATGTACTTCTAGTATATTATTTATATACCATATACAGTGCTGTGCTGAAGTCAGAGACCCCCTTCATTTACCAAACCAGTTGTTTGTTTTTGTTCGTGTTTATTTGTAGGAGATAGACGGTTTTGTGCAGGAGTTCGTGGCGGTGGTCCGCAGGTTGCCAGTGTGCATCAGTGCTCTTCAGTCGGTCTCCACGCTGCCGGTTCCCACTGACCCTGACGCTCTCTCTCACTTCTGCTCCACCAACCGCACTCAGCTGCAGCACATACGCAGGTAACGCTCACTGAGCTTCATCTGATCTGGTACCGGACCCCTCTGAGCAATCTCTGAGGACACGGCCTGAACAGCCTGCGTAGGAGGACCTTTTAAGCTTTAACTGCTTAACTGTGAACCCAATTTAGCCTGAAACGGTGTACCCAAACTAAAAGGGGGCGCTGTTCCCACATACTTTAGGCTGCAGTCATGATCTCAGTCTCGTTTGAAAGACCGATCTCTGACTCTTGCCGTGTTATCAGACCACATTTTGGATGATGGTGGCTCTGAAGGTGAGGAACCACAGATTTGTTGGCGTTTGATCAGTCGGTGCTGATTTTGTAAATGAGACGATCGTAACTGCTGTGAATAACTGATCATAAAATGTTTTTTGGGGAAATCGAATCCGTTTCGACAGAAGCGAAGAGGTGCAGATACCGCTACAGTGATCTAGAAAAGGTTAGAGCCCATATCATTGTGGTTTTCATTGCAATAACACGTCAATCTATGTAAACATTAGGGCTGAGGAACTAGGAGGATAATCAGATGCTGGTGATTGAGAAGAAATAGGATCAGATGTTGGTGATTGATGAATAACCCGACGACTGTGCTGGGAAGCAGTCACCTGTCTAAATTGACAATTGACGGCCTAATTTTTAAATAAATGTTTGCATGCAAGAATTATTGATCAAGGTTTAAGTGTTTGTGTTTTTATTTAAATTATTTAATTAATTAGTTAATTAATTAATTTACAGCAGTGTAGCCCAGCCCAATCGGCCTACAGCAGCTTAGCATCGCCCATTCCCATTGAAGTAGAGATGCAGGGTGTTGTTCCTGCAGACAGACTGTATCGGAGTTACAGGAGTGAAGTTGTGGGAAAACAATTCAACTCTGTGCTGTTCCTGGCTTTTGGGAAGCAAATGGATCATTACAGTTTCCAAATGATCCACACATCTGATTTATTTTCCCCCTGAGGATTTCAGCCCTGACGTAACAGTTGTACATGCTTTTTAAATGAGTTGCTAAACAGGGCGGCCTATTGGAACAATCAGAGCTCATTTGCATACTGGTCTTAAGGGGACAAAACAGCATGTTTTAATTTATGTAAAATCAGTTGTGACTGTGTACATAAACCCACAGGGAAATAAAAAGAGGGAGAAAATAGATTAATGAAAAAGCAGAATATTTTAAAATAACATTAGAAGACAAATCATCTTTGTTTTAAAAATAAAAAATTAAATACCTCCAGGGTCGACCATGTGAAAATGATTTACAGTGTTGGTCTTTCTTTAGCCACTGAATACTGCTTCTGTCTCTCTCTCTCTCTCTCTCTCTCTCTCTCTCTCTCTCTCTCTCTCTCTCTCTCTCTCTCTCTCTCAGTGATCTGGGTCTGGATGAGTTGCTGAGGAGGTGCGAGTTGGTGTTGGAGAAGTTCCGTGTTCCTGAGAGTGATCAGTGCTATCAGGCCATGGTGGGAACACACCTCTACACACACACTGCGCTGGAGATGCTGCACAACTACGAAAGGTAAGCAAGCACACACACACACACACACACACCCACCTCTGATTAATTACCCATCTGAACACCCATTTCCTTGGCTTTTTAGCACTCATTTCCATGGTTACGATATAATTTCCATGGTCTTGTAGCAAATGTTTCCATGGTTACACTATACCCATTTTTATGGTCTCAAAGAGCCAATTTCTGTTATTCCTGTACACCAATACCGTAGTCTTGTAGCCCCCATTTACCTGGATACGCCGTACCTATTTCCATGCTTTTATAGCACCTGTTTCCATGGTTACAGTGTGCTATTAGTTTCGCACAACCAGTTTATATAGTTACACTGCAATGGTTTCCATGGTTACCATATACCATTTCCATAATGTTGTTGCACCCATTTATGTAGTTACACTGTACCCATTTCTGTTATTACACTATGAGTTTCGGTAGTTTGTGTTACACCTGTTTCCATAGTTACTCTACCCACTTCCGTTATTACGCTTTCCTCATTTCCATAGTTGTGTTGGACCCGTTTCCGTAGTAGGGAGTTGACATTCCCCTTGTGCTGAATGCTGTTACAGTGAAACGTTAAAGAAACTGTAGCAGAATAAGATATAAAGATTATTCAGCACTGACTTCAGTCACAGTGCCGTTTTCTGGCTGCATAACCGGACAAACAGTGGAGCTGACGGAGGTCTGTCTTTTCTTTTTCTCTCTCGCTCCTGTAGAATAACAGCGGCAGTGGAGAAGGTGGAGTTGCTGTGGCAACAGGCGTTCGCCAAAGCCCGCGTCCAGCTGCAGGTCCTCAATCTTCAGAGAGAAGCTCAACAGGTAGCAAACAAAACATTTTATAAATACACCAAAAAAAAAAATATAAAACAAAACACTTTTAAAAATAAGCTCTTTTGGTCCTTCAACTTGTCTGTTCATCTGTGGAGATTAGTATATTTCAGACATGTAGTGATGTTTGTTTTCTGTTTGTTTTCTGTTTGTTTTTTTTATTTAACCCCTCAGATCGAGTCTCAGATGGCGCGTCTGTGGCAGAAGCTGCAGTGCTACAGGACTGAGGAGGTTACAGACAGCAGCAGAGCTGAAACTCAGAGGCTGGAGTTCGAGGAGTCTGTTTATACAAACGCTATGGTAACGTTAGTTTATGTAGTTTTGTTTGTTTGTTTGTTTACGTGCTTTGATTTACAATGGGTGGAACCAAAACGTCATAAAGCATCAAATATAGTCCTTATGGAAATTCTAGCTACAGCCTGTGAATGTGTCGTAGTCTAAACAGGGACTGGTCAGTTGTTAGGAATGTTAAACAGTGGCGGCAGCTCTATGCAGGACTCTTTACTGAGAGTCACTGTAACACTGATACATACAAGCTCAGATATACACTATATTTCCAAAAGTATTCACTCACCCATCCAAATCATTGAATTCAGGTGTTCCAGTCACTTCCATGACCACAGGTGTATAAAACCGAGCACCTAGGCCTGCAGACTGCTTCTACAGACGTTAGTGAAAGAATGGGCTCAGGAGCTCAGTGAGTTCCAGCGTGGTACCGTGATAGGATGCCACCTGTGCAACAAGTCCAGTCGTGAAATTTCCTCACTACTAAATATTCCACAGTCAACTGTCAGTGGTGTCATAACAAAGTGGAAGCGATTGGGAACGACAGCAACTCAGCCACGAAGTGGTCGGCCAAGTGTAGTGTTTGGTGGAGGGGGGATTGTGGTGCGGGGGTGTTTTTCAGGAGTTGGGCTCGGCCCCTTAGTTCCAGTGAAAGAAATTCTTAATGCTTCAGCACCAAGAGATTTTGGACAAGTTCATGCTCCCAACTTTGTGGGAACAGTTCGGGGACGGCCCCTTCCTGTTCCAGCATGACTGAGCGCCAGTGAACAAAGCAAGGTCCATAAAGACATGGATGAGCGAGTTTAGTGTGGAAGAACTTGACCGGCCTGCACAGAGTCCTGACCTCAACCCGATAGAACACCTTTGGGATGAGTTAGAGCGGAGACTGCGAGCCAGGCCTTCTCATCAACATCAGTGTCTGACCTCACAAATGCGCTTCTGGAAAAATGGTCAAAAATTCCCATAAACACTCCTAAACCTTGTGGAAAGCCTTCCCAGAAGAGTTGAAGCTGTAAACCCTATGGATTAAGAATGGGATCTCACTCAAGTTCATATGCGTGTGAAGGCAGACGAGCAAATACTTTTGGCAATATAGTGTATGAATGTCTGACAAAACTCATCGAAGGTCTTGTACAAGCTTCAAATATCTGTTTTATCTAGAACGGCCAAAAAGTTCATATGTACCAGTGCCAACACACTATTCGAAATCCCACTGGGTGGGAATGAAAATGAGCATTACTGCCATGGTGGTTCTTCCTTGTTTATTTGGCTGAGCTTTGACCTTCACCGCCTGAACTGAGGGCCTAGCTCTGATTGCCGTGGTTAATCATTTTATGATTTTATTTTAACTCAGAAAATCAAATCTTCATAAAATCCTATCAAACCTGAATGTGCATCATTACGTCTCAGCTGTCTGCATATTTATGTGGTCTGAATTGTCTTAAACCTTGTTGTGTTCTAGGCCTTGGTGCGTCGTGCGGAGGATGTAATCCACACATTAGCAGAGACCGTGGGAGAGCGCTGGGTTGGAGAACCATGGGTGGAGGAACTGGAACGGCAGAAGAACGAGTTTAGATCAGCGGTGGAGCTTCAGTACAGCAGCATCCGCACACAGTGCCTCTACCACCACTGCTACAGCAAAGTAAACGCTAACACTGCTCATTAAACATTATCTAGAACATCCGCACACAGTGCCTCTACCACCACTGCTACAGCAAAGTAAACACTAACACTGCTCATTAAACATTATCTAGAACATCCGCACACAGTGCCTCTACCACCACTGCTACAGCAAAGTAAACACTAACACTGCTCATTAAACATTATCTAGAACATCAGCATGCAATGCCTCTCCCACCACTGCTACAGCAAACACTAACGCTGCTCATTAAACATTATCTAGAACATCAGCATGCAATGCCTCTCCCACCACTGCTACAGCAAACACTAACGCTGCTCATTAAACATTATCTAGAACATCAGCACGCAGTGCCTCTTCCACCACTGCTACAGCAAACACTAACGCTGCTCATTAAACATTATCTAGAACATCCACACGCAGTGCCTCTTCCACCACTGCTACAGCAAAGTAAACGCTAACACTGCTCATTAAACATTATCTAGCACATCAGCCCACAGTGCCTCTCCCAACACTGTTATAGCAACATCTTCACTGTCTAGAACATCAACGCACTGCCTCTACCACCAGAGCTACAGCAAAGTAAACACCATCACTAATGTAACTCATGAAATACTATCTAGAACAGTGGCTGTTCTAGAAAACGTGGGGTATGGCAGGGAGTTTCGACAGGATGGCAGTCAGAATGTGTGAGTGGGGTTGTACCTGGGGTGGCTAATCAGATTTTGGCCATCTCTTGTGTGCGGATGCTCTAGATCAACCGTGCATGATCCAGAACATCCGCACACACTGCCTCTCCCTCCACTGATATCATTATCTAGAACATCTGCACCTCGTCTTCCAACATTGTTACAGCAACATCTTCACTATCTAGAGCATCTGCACACACTGCCTCTCCCACCACTGATGCAGCAACATTACGTTGTCACTAATGCTACTCGTAGTAGTGATAAAATATATGCACAAACATTTATTGTTATTATTATTATTATTATTATTATTATTAATATTATTATTAGGTTTGTAATGATTGGACTTGTGAGCTGATGCCAATACCAGATATTTTTCATGTACATTCAGTGGGTTCCAAAGTCTGAAAGCACTACTGAAAATGCATAATATGAGTGAAAATAGAATCTTTTAAAATTAACATGAATTTCACAATTTCGTAGTATTTGGTGATGTCCCCCTTCAGCTTTAAAAAGAGCTGATGAGCCCCATGAGCCTCTTATTACCGGGGAAAAAAACCCACCTGAAGTCGACTGAACACGAGCTTCACTGAAATTAATCAGTTAATGCATTTATATATTGTGTCAGCAGCTTAGTTGTTGTTGATATAAAGAAAGTGAACCTGTTTCTTAATCAATATTCTGACTCTGAGGCTTTAATTACAGACTGTTTGTCAGGCAGTTGTACACTGACCCTTGTCTGTCCGTGCGTCTGTCCGTGCGTCTGTCCGTGCGTCTGTCCGTGCGTCTGTCCGTGTTTAGGTCCACAGCTGGTACAGTCTAGCTGTGTGCGAGAGCTTCCTGCAGGACCTGCTGTGGGAGACCTGCTGTGACGGTCAGGGTGACGTTTCGGCCGGGCGAGAGTGGAAACCTGCTCTGGAGTCGTTTCTCAGAGTGCACACCTGTCCTCAGGTGGAGGAGCTAGTCCAGCTAGCGCACCTGGCTAACGTCATATCTGACCCGCACCTGCAGACCGCGGGCAGACAGCTCGCCCACAGGTGGGCTGATGATTCTTTTAGTTGGTGTGATTCCCTTTAACCCCCTTTAACTCCTCTCGTGTTCTGATCGTTGTGGATTTGCGCTTCTCCCTGCAGGTGTATGAATTTGAGGAAGCTGTTGACCTCTCCTGGTTCTGCGACCCTTCGTGACCTCCAGCTGGCGCTCCAGTGGCAGTATGAGTACCTGAAAGGCAGTCGTGAGACCGTGACCTCTGACCTGACTCCCAGGAGAAGCGTTTGTGCTGAGGTGCAGCCGGACTCTGGGTTCGTGTCTCGCTCTCTCAGACCTCCGTCTCAGTCTGACCTCAGCAAGCAGGACGCTCCGTTTCTCCGGTCAATGTCGACGCTGGACTCGATGCCTCCCGCTGGAAAACCACCGTCGCTCAGCTCCTTCGACTCCGGCTTTGAGGGAGCAGGAAGTGGTCATGCTGACACAGGAAAGGAGGGACCTCTGGGCTTACCCAGAATGCCCTGTGGCAGAGACATCACGACCAGGTAAGGGTCAGAGGTGCACTAGCGCCCTCTACTGATCAGTGTTTATAACATTTATGAGGTACAAAGTTAGATTTCTACGTAAAATGATTCTAATATCAGAATCATAACAGCTTATCTAATAGCACTCATTCTTGTTGAAGCATGATCTGTGTTGACGATATTTTAAAAAGATTAATTTTAATAATATTATAATGACATTTGGATTTTTCTTTTATTATTTTATTATTGGAACAACATAAATCCAGATAAATATATAAAATGATCCTAATATGGTGCGAATAAGTAAAATCTTCCAGAGCCATCTGTATAGTGGATCCTGTTCACAAAACAATTAAATTCTAATTTATTAATTACATTTTTTTAAATTATTTATTTATTTATTTATTTACTTCTTTGTTGTTTTCTTATGTACACTAATAAAGGAGCTGCATTTTTGTATAATTAATTAAAATGATTTGACAAGCGATTCCAGATTTTTAACAGTAGTTGGTTTTTTGTTTCGGTCTGTTGTCAGAATAGTGTAAATTGTATGGTTTTGATGTTGTGGTGTTCTGTCCAGGCTGAAGGTTCCTCAGCTGCAGATCAGTGAGGAGAACGTGTCCAGCGTGTCCGACTCGGAGGAGCTTGACCACGGCCCTGCTGGGAATAACTCCTCTAAAGCGAGTATCCACATAATCCCCAGGATAACCGCAGACTCTCTGAACTTTGAGATAAAGGTCCAGCGGTCAGCTACGCTGCCCAAAAACCCCTGGCTGAGCCTCCCGGTGGACGACCTGGAGAACTTGTACACGGTGACCATCAGCCCCAGCTCTCCTGGCCTGCAGAGGGCACCAAAGAGCCCCAGCCTTTCAGAGCGCTGCCGTGACCAGCCCACTCAGACGGACTGTGTCCACAGCCCCAAACGGAAGGTACGGACGGTCACCTTCATCTGTGGAATACTTTCAGACTTTCCTCAGATGTTACCTGGAGCTACTAATGATTATTTCTGTAATCAATTAATCCAGTAATTGAGGCATTTGCTGCGTTCAGAATCACTTCCTATTAGGGTGTCAGTACTTTGTTGGGTTGTTTGAAAATCAACAGTTATAGTTCACTATTGAATACCCATAATGCATCGCAAATTAGAGTACAGACACTACACTCCAAATTCCAATGTATACCATAATGCAGTGGTGTCTTACTAAAGTAGTAGAAACTGAGTTTTGGGAGCAGAACACACACAGACAGCAGAGGGCGCTACATGCCAATTTTATATACAAATGTCAAAAATAACGAATCTTACATCAGTGAATCAACAATGAGTACTTATCAAACAGTTAAACTGACAGGGTTAAACTTTTGGAGGCACAAATTGGCCAAATTTGGCACCTAGTCAACTAGTCAGTGTGTTGTTTGAACAGTAGTTTTATGTTGTGTTGCTGTATGAATATCATGAACGCTGGAGTTTGTTCTTCAGTTTCCTGCTGTGTAAAAGCCTGTGGTAACCCTGGTTCAGATCTCCAGCAGTGCTCAGCAGCGCCCCACAGTGTCAGTGTAACCTCACTGCGTGTGTGTGAGTGAATAAACTCCACAGTCTGGCTGATGTTTGTGCAGGATGGTGATGGAGGATTCCGAGAGGAGGAGTTCAGCCCCATCCGGAACGTTCTGTCCAGCACCATAGCAGAGGGCGGGGCTGACAGTACAGCAGAGGCTCCGCCCACTCTTCTGTGGGACACGTACGACCTGCATGATGTCAGACACGACACGTGTGACAGGTGCGTCTCTGATTAGTTTAAAACCTTCACTGGGGTTAAAATTTAAAACTTAGTTTCTGCAGGAAAGTGTAATATAAGTGTAATATATTATGAAGTCATATTGCTATTTCACTTTATTAACTGTAAGGAACTACTAACTTTAAAGAAGTGTGGGTCTGACTAGTACTGGGCAGCACTGATTTGTTAGAGTTAATGTTTGTCATTTAAAAGTTAGTATTAAGTTGTCAGCATTTATAAAGTTGACAAGTCAACAGTAAAGTTTGCATTAATTAAATCAGAGTTAGCCTTTATTAAAATTAATGTTAGTTAGCGTTTATAAAGTTCATAGGTCAATAATAACAGTTAATAGGTTAGCGTTAAAGTTAATACGTTTGTGTTGATGAAGTTGATAGGCTAGCGATAATAAAGTTATTAGGTTACTGTTCATAAAGTAAATAGGATATCATTAACAAAAGTTAATGGTTTAGCGTTAACAAAGTACGTTATTAGCTGACTTTCTATAAGGTTAATAGGATATCGTTAATAAAGTTAAGGGATCAATGTTAATGTAAGCATTAAGTTGATAAGTTAGCCTTAATGAAGTTAATTAGTTTATGTACATTATGAATATGATGCACATTAACTGTGAAATGTTGCTGAATTTATGTTTATAGATGTTAATAAAGCACTTTTTTAAGCTGTTTTGCGGATGGTATGTGTGTGCAGGTTATCAGACGTGTCTCTGGGTAACTGGGAGCTGGAGGAGCAGCAGGAGCTCCGGGCTGTGGAGGAAATCCTGGGCCGTACAGCAGGAATACTACAGGTACAGATACACCTGACTGACCCTAAATCACACTGACCCTCACTTTAACTTAAAGCGATAATTTAGTGAAAAAACCAAATCCCCCAGACTGAAGCTCTTTTACCCGGTTTTGTCTTTTTGAACAGGAGGAGGAGAACATTCTCGCTCAGGAGGAGGCTCTGGATGTTCTGCTGAAAGCTGACCATCCGGACAGACAGTGGCCTTCATGGAACCACAATGTCCAGCTCACTCAGGTGAGGATTTCTTCAGTTAAAAAAGCTGATGAAGCATTCTGCTTTATATATTCCTGAATGGTTAGTTTTCTTAGTGAGTTTCCCACAGGACTTCAAGACCACGCTGGGTGGGCCTCACTCGGACCTTCTAGGGTCGTTCTGGTCGTTGTATATTTTACAGTTAAATGCATCAAAACTGAAGCCCTGAGAAAAGAATTAAGAAGTTACGTCTATGGAGAACTTTGTGCTCCAAACAGTTTTGTGCTTTAGTCATGTAATCATGAACACGCTGGCTGTTTGGGTGTGAATGGTGATGACAGCAAAATGTCTCACCCTCAAAGCCTGATAAAGGACTTTCACAGTTCACAAATGATCAAAATAAATGACTAGAGCTTACATTTCAGCCCTCAAAGCAAATGAAGCAGAAGTGGTTACCAGTGTTCATTGTAGAAAATATAAAATACTGAATAGAGAATATCGAGAATACTATACAGAATAATTGAATCGCTTAATTTTACCCAAAATGTATCTAGGGGGGCTGACTGATACTGAGAGATGCTTTGCCGAAACAACTGGTTCATTATGAAACTGAAACCCAGCCATCACAGTCTAGATAATCAATGGGAAACAGTATGACGGTCAGTCATGTTTGCACTGTTTGGGTTCTAACAGCCTTTACTGGGTAAATTTCTTTATTTACTGTTTGATTTTTATTCTCTGAGCTGTTAGAGATCAATCAGCTGTATATTTACCTGCAGTGACCTTCCACACAGCTGCTGGGTGTCATTAAGTCATTTTAAACTTTGTCTCCTGCCACCTTCAGGCAGTCTGGAACTGTTTCAGTTGAGTTTTCTTTTGGTTTGGTTGGTAAATTTCACTTTTTGTTTCAATCCCTACATTGGAACTGAGGGTCACCCTCAATGTACTTCAGAGTCAAAATAAAGGTTGATTGAATGACAAGGCAGCTGTGATTGACTGATTCAGTGCACATACCTGTCCGTTAATCCTCCAGATGTCGTCCAGTGACCTGGCTGAAGCTGGAGTGATTGGACTGGAGGAGGAGTCCAGCTCACCCCTGCACTTCGGTTACCACGACGACGTCTCCTCTTCAGGTCCAAACTCTGAGGCTCTTGCACCCACTGACCTGCATCCGAACCGAAGTGGAGTTGTTCAGGAGCTGAAGGACCTGCAGGTTCTGGAGGAGCGGATCTTGGAGGAGGAGCTGAAGATCCAGGAGCTGCGACTCTCAGAGAAAACGCCAGAAAGGAGGAGGTAGAGATGGAACAATGAACGTTTTTCATGATATCATTATCACTGTTTTTCTTCACAATAAAGCAAAAATACTGAACACTGTGATACTTCTGTTCACTGAGGTCTCGTATTTGGTTCTTTCTCATCTGTAACAGGAAGTTCCTGGAGGAGCTGGAGCGGGAGAAGAAAGAAGTGGAGGAGCTGGAGAGGAGTTTGAGCAGAGAGGAGAAGCAGCGGGATGGAAAGGTGAAGAAGCGGCCTAGGGGTCAAAAGGTGGTGAAGTGTTCCATCATGGAGATGGCCTCGGCGCTCAGGAGCTTTGAGGAGGACGATGAGGCTCTGCTGATGAACTGCAGGCGCCAAACGCAAGAGTCAAAACCAGAGGCTATCGGATCTACACATCCACGTTTAACTTCAGATGGAGCTACGAGAAACTCCAAACCTTCAGATTCGGCCACAGATAAATTTATCTCCTGCATGGACTCTGGTTTATCTTCTAAATCCAGACTTTCTAATTCAGCCACAGATGAAATTGATGGCTATATTGACTCAACTTCATCTCATGAACCACATTTAACCACAGAAGAATCCACCAGTTCCAAACCTTCTACTTCAACCACAGATGAAGTTAAAGACTTGAATCAGGATGTATTTGACATTCATAAAGACCCAGACTTAGCTGCTAATGAAGAACCAGAACCTGTCACAAAGGAATCCACCAATAACGACTTGTATTTGAGTTTGGACTGTGGTCAGGATAAGCTGTCTTTGGTTTCTATCACCTCCAGCTCAGATGGAGATGCTTTACCACATGGTTGTCCTTCAGAAAAGGAGTATACTGTTTCTGAGATTAACATTCTAGATCCTGAGAAGCAAAAGTCCGACTTCATCTGTGCAGTCTTAAATCTGTCCAACATGCAAGTTTCCACTGCTGGAGATCCAAATGAGCCTCCAGATCCTTCTGAAATCAGACAGGAGACGTTTATAGACCTTTCTGAATCGGGCATAAGTGAGAATGTCCAGTCTGAGAGCAGGCCTGATGCCAACAAAGACCATCACTTCAGGAAGGATGCAGTAGAATCAGAGATTTATTCAGCAGAAGGTTTGGCGCCCCTAGAGACTGGTCAAGAAAGAGCAGCGTTTGATCCAGGTGGTCCAAAACCTCTTCCCCGAACGCCCAGGCTGAACAAGCCATCACTACGCAATCAGACGAGCTCAATATCTGAGGAACATGTACAAGGTCGGGATGATGACAACTCATCTGTGGCTTCGTTTTCCAGTGTGGCACCCTCTGCTGGCCCAAAACCAAAAGAGCGCAAAAACCCTCCTCTGAAAATCCTTCCAGCTGTGGCTGAACACAACAGAAACAATAACAACCCTCGCTGTGTGGATCTCCATGGGCCTGGTTCTGAAACTGTTAGAGATTCTGAGTGCGAACATGAAGCTATGGATCAGACTGAAGCGGAGTGTGAGGGTCCGATTTCAGAAACAGAGTCTTATGGACCATGTGAGAAGAATGATGCTGATGTCATGAACATGAGGAACGATGATGGACCCTCTACTAGAAGCGTGTGCAGATCACCTGTGCTCCAGCAGCAGCTTCAAATCTCCACCAGAGAGGTTTGGATGTGATATCTAATCTAATCTAATCTAATCTAATCTAATCTAATCTAAACTAATCTAATCTAATCTGGCTACATACACTAATATAAGAATGTTTCACAAAGCTTAGTGAGTCCAGCAGGAGTCGAGTTAATGTGGAAGCAATAATACAGGAAATCTGGGACGACCTCAATATCAGATGTTCCAAGTGCACATCAGCGGATATATAAACATGTTAAAATAGTCACACAAACAGTCAGTCTGCTCTTCCTGAACAAAGTGCTTCATTTAATATCAATGATTATATCTGTCAAATCCACACATCTGTTTGATGGTGAAAGTATTTATTTATTTATTTATTTATTAATTTTTTTTAGGTTAACAGTTATCTTCTGATACTCTTAAAGATGGATCTTCTGGGGTTATTTAGTAAAGAGAGTTTTATTTAGAACCATTTAGTTCTGTGTAGAACCATTTGAAGATTAAATAATTCTTTTGCATGGTAAAATGGTTCTTCAGACTCTTGTATATGGTCCTGTATAGCACCAAAAGGGTTCTTCTATTGTGATGGAAAGCTTGATATGCTAGCTATACAGAACCATACACAACACATTCTCCATCTGAAGAACCACTTCACCATGCAGAGAACCATTTAAGCATGAAATAGTTTTACATAGAACTCACGGTTGTAAATAGAACCATTTCTTTTGTTAAAGAACCTTTAAAGAACCATCTTTAAGAGTGTACTGATATGATTCCAGTATCACTGTGTTGCTAAGGAACCTCTCTAATGGACAGTCCTAATTTTGGGCTTTAACTGTCCAGCCTTACTAAGAAATCCTGCTATGTAAATTGAGCTGCTGTTCTACTGTCACACTATAGTTCTTCAAGCTTTTGTAAACAGGTTGAGGTTCTATGTGGTAGCATTGTTTATTAGCAGTCCTGAAGAACCTCAGCAGGTGTGTGTGTGTATGTGTGTGTATGTGTGTGTGTATATATATATATATATATATATATAATATAGTGTGTGTGTGTGTGTGTGTATAGAAGTGCCTATTTTTTTTTTGCTGTTGTAGTTTTGGCATATTTTGAATAGTGGCCGGTTTGCATCATAACAAAATGTAAATTAAACATTAAATAAAAACCTAGGCGTCTCTGCCCCAGGTGTTTGTTTGTTTTTTTTTTTATAATATGGTCCTTTTTAGTGTTCAACACCCCTGGTTTACTTCCTGGTTATCTGTGTTTGTGTAGATGAGTGATTATCTGACCCCTGTAGTGCTGGACACTGGCTCTGGACTGGTGAAGGCTGGATTTGCAGATCAGGATCTTCCCTCTGTGATATTCCCAAACGCTGTCGGCCTGCCCAAATACGAGGTAAACCAACTTCTTTCTTTGTTTTTTTGTCTATTTGGGGGAAGGGGGGGGGGTTCAGTTCTGTCTGTGTTATGTCTGTGTTTAATGTAGAACAGCCATGTGCAACATACTATTAGAAATCCCATAGGGGTGCTAGCAGAAATTAGCAATAATGCAGAGGTGTTGTCTTATTTTTGACCCTGAACTGAAGGCCGTGGTTAATTCACAAAATATTAATTTTAGTATTAATATTTTGTGAATTAACCACTATTAATTTTAGTAGCTACACAATTAAAGACCTCCTAAAATAATCTTTCATATTCGACTTGTATCTGTTTTCAGACAGTTTTTATAACTATCCCTAGAACATACATGTTTATTTATCTATTTATTTGTTTATTTATTTATTTTGGTCCCCATGACTTTCATAGCTGAAAATGCATTAAAGTTTGTAAAACTTTGTACGTGGTTTGTTTGGGTGTGTCATTAATTTCCCTCGTCTGTGTGTTTCTGCAGGAGGTGATGAGCGGCAGTGCGGAGCGGGACATGTATGTAGGTCATGATGCCCAGCACATGCGGGGGGTCTTAACGCTCCACTACCCAATGAAGAACGGCATCATCAGCAACTGGGACCAGATGGAGACGGTGGGTTTGCTGATGAGAGGCGCCTACTGAATATGTAGCGGAGTAATCGCAAACTGGGATCAGTTGTGATAGTTTGCTTTTATTAGTTGAATGAATGTTCTTAAAGAATGTTCTAGTTTTAGAACTGGAACAAGGACACTAATGGAAGTAAGGAGTCACCAATTAGCATTGTCTAAGGCCCTGTCCCGTTTCTCATTTCTACCCCTGCCCCTTTTGAGTGTTGCCCCTTGTTACTGAGTTACAGGGTAGTGGTTGAAATCTTCCCTCTGAAATGGGACCCTCAAATAAAAAGAGCATCACTTCATTAACAGCTACCAGCGCTGCTCTGTAGGCGACCCTGCCAGTCTGCAGTGACAGCAGAGGAGGGTAAAGTTCAGCTCCTCACTTTAGTTACATTTAGGGCATCATATGATCTTCAAAGAGGGGGGCAATTATTTATCACCCACCCCTAATTCTTCAGTGATATGAAGCTGAAGTCAGATATTCACCAGCTTCTTGTTCGAATTTTCCTGTTCCACCTTAAATGGAGCAGCAGTTCCGATGCCTGAGGAGCCCCTTCTTTCTCATAACTCTCTGAAGTCTCTGAAGATCCTCTGTTTGGAGGGTCATGTAGCCCCAACACTTCACCCCAACACTTCACCCCACCCCTCTATCTCAACAAGAATCAGTGTGCGCAGTATTGATTTAACAGCACAACCAATGTTAGCCATTAAGTAAACAAAGCAGGCAAGTAAAGATGCTGATCAGCCAGTTTGGCCACTTTCATTCTCAGCACTGCAGTAACACTGACGTGGTGGTGGTGTGTTAGTGTGTGTTGTGCTGGTCTGAGTGGATCAGACACAGCAGTGCTGCTGGAGTTTTTAAACACCTCAGTGTCACTGCTGGACTGAATAGTCCACCAACCAAAAATATCCAGCCAGCAGCGTCCTGTGACCACTGATGAAGGACTAGAGGATGACCAACACAAACTGTGGTACAAGGTGGACTGACAAGGTAGGAGTGTCTGATAGAGTGGACAGTGTTTAAAACTCCAGCAGCACAGCTGTGTCCGATCCACTCACACCAGGCAGCAGTGATTGTCTATAGCAGGTTAAGTTGTAGGTGTTACTGAATGCCGGGACTTGGTGATGTAATTGCATTATGGGATGTATCTCCTGATGAGGCGTGTGTTTGTGTGCAGATCTGGCAGCATGTGTTCCAGCAGCTGCGTGTTGATGCTGAAGATCACCCGGTGCTGCTGACGGAGGGCGTGATGAACCCTCTGGTTAACCGGCAGCGCATGGTGCAGCTGATGTTTGAATCCTTTAACATTCCGCTGACCTTCATTGCCCTGCAGCCCGTGCTGGCACTGTACGCAGCCGGACGCACCACAGGTCACTACATACCCACACGCTATTATTAGTGTATTACAGTCTGTCAGAATGACTCTGTGGATCAAATGAACATTATAGAGGCTTTTTAAATGAAACGGTAGAAGCCATATCGCCCCCTACACTTCCTGTAGTGTATTACAGTCTGTCAGAGTGACTGTACTTACACTAAAATGTGTTCACTTTTATAGTGTTTTTATTGTGTGTGTGTGTGTGTGTGTGTGTGTGTGTGTGTGTGTGTGTGTGTGTGTGTGCGCGTGCAGGTGTGGTGTTTGACTCCGGTGATGGTGTTAGTCACAGTGTTCCAGTGTTTGATGGTTACTCTCTGCCTCACGCTGTTCAGCGCTTTGCTCTGGCCGGAGCCGACGTCACCCTGCAGCTCAAAAAGGTACCAAGAACAATGGTGGAACCTCAGTAACACAACGCACAAAGCTGTGCGTAGTACCTGATGTAAAAGTGTTTTTGAAAATTTTAGTGGAAAGTAAAAGCTTAATTGGTCTATTTCTTCCCTAAAGAACCATGACGAAGCTAAGTATGAAGAACCATGTAAAGGTTTACCTTCAACATGAAGGTTCTTCGCCAATATAAGGGTTCTTCCTACTTTATTTATATCATTATATAAATATGTACAAATGTATAAATGTGCTATTGATGTACTATTCTATTCAAGTTGATGGAACAAGTACATCTACTGCTTGCGTTCACTTGTTTTACTACCATTGTGAGGACCAAATAAAGTTGAACAGCTTGACATTTTGTACCTTTTTGCTGCTCCTCACAAGTAAACATGCTGTTTTCATTACAAATTCACCTTTTTTTGGAAATTTAAATTTAAAAGGTTGCTTTTTGGTTACTGAGGTTTAAATGTAATGTAGTGCTTTGCTACAGTAATGCAGTAGTCAGTGGAGGTCCTCAAGTAGTGTGTGTGTGTGTGTGTGTGTGTGTGTGTGTGTGTGTGTGTGTGTGTGTGTTAGCTGTTGCTGGAGCAGGGTGTGTGTATGCGGACGTCGGCAGAGTTGGAGATCGTGCGCGAGATTAAAGAGAGATGCTGCTGTGTGGCTCCGGATTATGAGGCGGAGCTTAACACAGGGGGCGGAGCCAGGACACAATCTCACTACACTCTACCTGACGGGCAGGTCGTCTCCCTGACAACAGAGCGCTTCAGGTACATTTTCTCTTTAAATATATTTTTTATTATTATTTTAGGTTATTCAGTCTGACTCAGTTCTGTATTGTCAGTTTTTTATTATTATTATTATTATTATTATTATTATTTTATTTATTTTTTATTTTTTATTTTATATATATATTTTTTTCTTTCAGGGCTCCTGAGATCCTGTTTAAGCCAGAGCTGATTGGTTGTGATCATTATGGGATGCATGAGAGCATTTTTAAATCCGTTCTTCAGTCAGATATAGACCTGCGGAGGAGCTTCCTGGGAAACATCGTTCTGTCTGGTACACACACACACACACACACACACACACACACACACACACACACACACACACACACACAAAATACTGGATTGTCTTATTTTCTTTCCATATGGTACCATTTGTGTGCTCAAGCTATTTATATATTCAATAATATGTGGCCATTAGTTGCTAGTAGTTGTAGCTAAGTAGTGCAATGTGGGAAAACATGTATGGTTGTTTATTTATTTATTTTTTTTGTATGATTCAATATCTGCATTTATCAATCATGTGCATCTCTTAATGCTTAATTTCAAGTCTGAACAGTAATTTGAACCTTGAAAAAATTTGTTATTCAGACTTATATTTAAAAAAAGAAACTTGAATAGTCAACAGAAATAGGAGTAAATTCTCCACAAACTCGCTGCCTTTTTATTCTCCTTTATTTCAGCACCTAAACAAGCTAACTTTTCTAGATGAAAGCTCCACTAACTTAAAATAGCCAGCATTAGCAAACTCAATCCCAAATGATGAGGCTAATGCTAGCTAACTCTGCTAGCCAATATCAAAGATCAGCTTTTTCTACTAACTGTAAATAGTTGCTGTAAATTGTGCTGTAGAGTGAACGGCTAGACTTTTTCTCCCTAAAGAGTAAAACCCAGTAGGCATTCATGACTGTTATTCATGACTGATATAAAAAACCCTCTAATTTCTGAAAATATAGCGTTAGAAAAATGGGGGGAAAATATGGTTAACTTTAATGAGATTTTAAGTGACTTTGGGCCGTTCCTATCGCACAGTGTGAAGAGCAGCTGTTTTCTAATGATGTAAAAATGATAAATAATCAATAATTTAAAAGGTTTGGCAAGCAGTTCAGAGTGTGAGCTCCTAATACTGTACTGAGGAACAGAACTGCAGAATTATTTTAATAATAACTCAAACTAAGACTGAAAGATGAATCATTTAATTTCAAATTTGAGTGCAGTTTTTAAGTTGTAAGTGTTATTATAGCCTACGTTATCAACAACAATGTGGACAAATTTAACACCACACAGAGCTTGTGATCTGCCTGTAGAGGAGTTGGACCAATTAGAATCAAGCACACACTTGTGTGCTGTGACATCACAACCACAGAAAAGGTGGATATGCTGGTCTTCATCATCTTATTATATATATATATATATATATATATATATATATATATATATATAACATTGGTCAGAAAAATCACAATTATTTGCCCAAAACTTTCAGTCCGACATCAGGCATTAATAAATATTAGTAGTAGCCAGTTCATTTGGTTGAATTATTTTTTTAAGGCAGTCATTTTGTAGTCACCATTATACAAGTATGCAGATAACAAGATACAAAGACAGGTCAGAACTCGCTGGTTCCCTCACCTCTTGTGTACTGAGCTGCAGCCTGAGGTCAGTTAGTCCAGTTTAGTGTCAAAGGAGCCACATCAGACTGTAATGAGTTAATAAGTTAACAGGGAAAAGAGAGCAGAAGGAAAAGCCAGTCTCTTGGGGTTAGCAGTTAGCCATTAGCCTAGCATGGAGACTTGTCAGCTCTCCGTGTGCTCCACCTACGGCGCTCCTCGCTCGGCCGGCTGCTTCAGGCGATGCCGCGGTCTCGGCCTACAAGCCGAGAGGCTCCGCAGCTCCTCAGCTTAAAGTGACAGAGTGAACGGCTGTAATATTTAGTCCAGCAGCGTCTGACGCTCGGAGATTAAAGCTCGAGTGTGAGACACACAAACGAGACAAACGACTTTCAGGCGGAAAACTACAGTCAGCAGCGTTTAGAGGAGCCGCTGTGGGCTTTACACACACTCGCCTTCATCTCGCTAGGGCTAGAGACACACTGACATCTGACTGTATATTGATCTGTTCTGTTTTTGCTGTTTTACTCAATGAAATTTCAGATTTACTTAAGTTATTAAATATGGTTCTTATTAAAATGAAGAGACGTCCAGAATAACACGCCACTGAGAATCAACAGAAAGGTTTATTTAAGCATCTAAAATGGTTTTATTTATCAGAAATAACATAAATATGCTATACTGCAAGTAATATCAATTTTTCCGTGATATAAATTGCCTGCACTGCACACAATTAATATCCATAAAAATAAAATTAAATTTTTTGTTCATTTTTGTTATTGTGAGTCAGTCCTACCAGTAGGTGTTTAGTTTTTAGTCTTGTCTCTCTGTGTTGTTGAGGTGGGAACACTCTGCTGGCCGGTCTGCCGGAGCGTCTGCGGTCAGAGCTTGGCCGTTTGGCCCCGGCAGGGGTCTCTGATAGCGTGAGGGTCCTCAGCCCCCCTGGCCGTGACTTCTCCGTATGGAAAGGGGGCGCTGTTCTCTGCGGCCTGCAGACTTTCAGCTCTGCCTGGATCAGCCACGACGAGTACGAGGAGTTCGGACCCAACATCGTCCACAGAAAGTGCTTCTGACCCGCCGGACCTCTGAGTGGGCTGCTGGGACAAATGTGTCGAACACGTTTCTGCTTCTGTTTTTGGCCTTAGTGACTGAAATTTGTGCCAAATTTTCACTCTGAAAGACAATTTAGGGAGAAAAAGAGAAATTCTAAGCAGGAATGACTTTTTTTGAGGGATATGTGCTCTTAATTTAATATCGGAATGACTTTTTTTTTTTGTTTGTTTGTTTGTTTGTTTTGCTATATGAAGAGGTTGAACAAATAATAAATTTTGTAAGTGTTATTAAAGCCAAACATGATCTTAAATCCCAAAACCTCTGAAATGGTGCCGTATTTATCACGTTTCTTAAATTTATTTTTTTAATAATAATGAAACCGGGTCATTTAAAGGCTAAATATGTATTTATGTGAATATAATCTAAATCTATTTACTTTTCTATGTTGATGTGGTGCCTTTTTCCCCTCCCTCTCCTCCTTGGTGTCTTACTTAAATCTAATATAGCTTATTAGTGCACTTGATGTTAAATGCTTTTATTTTCTCTTTTTAGAAGATTTAGTGCACTAAATGAGTATTTTCTAGTCAGAAATGATATGAAGACAAACTGAGCCCCAACTTTTTTCTCCTGTTCCAGTAAGAATTAGCTGTAAATCTTCCAATGCACCCATTATAGCATCTCACTGGGTTTCACAGAGAGCCATAATCAACACCAGCACTTATTTATTGCATCATCTCAAAAGCTTTACTCGTTTAACTTAGGCTTGTATTTGTTTTCAGTGTGAAAAACTAACCATTTCACATTTGCTTTAGTTTGATTTTCCACTGTTTTGTCTTTTTTTTTCTTTTTTGTATATATATTCCTCATGATTGGTATTTATATTGAGTTAAAGCTGTTTGTCGATGGTGCTGGACGTCTAATTTGCTGTATTCTGTCTGTTTGAGGCTGATTTTGATCTAAATTATCTGTAATTTCTCTCTGGAGATCTGGACCAAACCCTCCTGTGGTTTGCTGTGAGTGAATCTGATGGTGTTTGCACATTTATGTGGTTGTATAAGTATTTTCTTTAATATTTTCCCCTCACGTTTGTGTGTTTGTGTGCTGGGGGGGGTTAGTGATGTTTGTGTGGTCAGTGGTGGGATTAGGCTGCTGGGAGGAGGTCAGTAGGCCTTTGAAAGGAAAAGTGGACAGCTCAGTGTCCTGGAATGTGTGCGTGTCTTGTACCACTGTCTGTTACACCAGATACTGTGACCTTTTTAATAAATATTTTAAATCTGATTCTCCTCCTGCTGAGTGCTTTAACTCTCACTGCTCTCGGGCTGCCTGGGCTGGATTAAAGGGCCCATATCATGGAAAAACTAATGTGCCCTGAGTTTGTTTGTGTGTGCTTTTGACATTTAAGTAACTGACACTGTCTTTGCTGATTTAGTGTTTCATTAAAATGCAGTGCTCTCCACAAATATTGGCACCCCTGATAAACATGAGCAAAACAGGCCATCATCGTTCTTTATTGCTGATCCTTTTGATTTTTTTTGTTTCAAAATATTAACAAAAATCTAACTTTTATTCAAAGTACAGTGATTCGTTTTTTCAATCTTATCAGGGTAATAAATGTTCTCAAATCTGTGTACCGTTCATTTAATCCTTTGTACAGCCTCCCTTTGGAAACATAACAGCCCTGAGTCTCTCCTGTAATGCTTAATGAGACTGGAGAACACATGGCAAAGGATTTGTGACAGTTTCTCCTACAGAACTTCTCCAGATCCTTCAGATTCTGAGGTCCACACTGTAAACTCTTAAGCTCATCCCACAGGTTTCCTAAGGGGTTTAGGTCGGAGGACTGGAGTGGCCATGGCAAAACCTTAATTCTGTGGTCAGTGAACCATGTTGATTTTGAGACGTGCTTGGGATCATTGTGCTGGGAGATTCAAACTATGGCCCAGTTTAAATGGTTTTACTGGAGAATTCGTCACCGTTACTAAATATTTCTACAGGTTCTCCAAAGGAGAAGCTAATAAAACCTGCTTGGTTGTGTTCAACTCATAAAAATAAAGGTACCAAAAGGGTTCTTTAAAGTTTAGCCATAGGAAAAAAACACACTTTTGGTTCCCTAAAGAACCTTTCAGTGGATGGTTCTTTGAAGAAACATTTTTGTAAATGAAATGTGTGACTGTGAAGAAACTTTTAATGTTTAACCTTAAAACCTAAAAATCCCAGGTTTATGGCATACTAAGGCTTAGTATTCAGTAACTACACAGACTATGAAGCAAACTAGCTGAGCTGGTCTTAGATTATAGAAGGGTGTAGTAAAAAATCTTATTTCTGCTGATACTCGATGGAGTCTCTGATACCGTGTATCAGAATTAATTGTCCAGGGCCTTTGGAAGAAAAACAGCTCCACAGTATCACAGATCCACCACCATACTTCACTGAGGGGATGAGGTACTTTTCTGCATTACTGTCTTTGTGTCCACGCCAAACTTAATTCTGGGGTTTGTTGCAAAAACCTCTGTTTTGGTCTCCTCTGACTATGGAACATAGTCCTGCTGAAAGTTCCAGTAACATCTGGCAAACTGTTGGAGCTTGAGTCTCTCCGTTCTTGACAGCAGTTCTTGCTGTTTTCTTTGGTCTTTCTCACAGTGATGGACGACTGGGGGAATTTGACCTGTCTTTTATCTCATGTATATTGCCCAGTGCATCAGGAAGTTATGGCTGACCATTCCAGTGTTCCTTATCGCTCAGGTAAACTTTAAAACATAAAATATGAAAGGGAATATACTTCAGTTAGATTTCACTCTTAAGAATTCCCAGGGGCACCAACAATTGTGGCACACAGAGATTTGAGAATTTTTTTGTGACAAAATTTAGTTTTTTCTTTCAATCGTTATACCATAAGTAAGTGGTGGATTTTTGCTAATATTTTGAATGACAGATCAAAAGAATCAGTAGTTAAGAATATTTTTACAGCTCATTTTGATTATAATTACTAGGGATGCCAATATTTGTGGAGGACACGGTATATTGTCTGGTTGCACATGATGGCTTCACACCAGTTCACACCAATAAAAAACATTGTCATTTCAGCCAATTGTGAAAAACAGTCTTGTTTATTAAAGAAACACAAGTTTGACTCCCATTAGTAAACTGGAGAATTCTATGCAGGTAATTGGCTGTGATGTCCCAAAAACGATCATGTTTACATAGCCATCTGTTCAACCTACAGCAGTTTAGCCCCACCCACTCACCCAGAAGATATAAGGAGTGTTTCAGCCCAAACTGCAGCGCAATACAAGGCAGCCAATCAGGTCAGAGCTTATTTACATTAAATCACTCTTAAACGAGGGACACTATGTTAGCTGGAGTGAGGAGGGGAATCAAAGTATTGACAGAGTTGACAGGTTTGCAGTTTTCACACCAAATTGGGCTTGTTTGAAAACACAGTTGCAGATTAAATTTTTGAAGTTGCGGGGTGCATTTTTTTTTGGGCTCCTTTCAAAATGTATCCTGGCTGTGAAAAAGATTGACTGCAGACATTAGAAAATGAAAACAAATTGTCTGATGAGTGGTGAGTAGTAGAATACAGCCGAGAGGAGATGAGTAAAAGTTAGAAAGTTGTAATGTAGCGTAAACTCAAGAAAAGTATCCTTACTTTGGTGAAATAAAAGTATTTGAAATGAATTTAAGTGCAAAAAACAATTAGTGACTAAAGGTAGATTCTTTTTCTCATAGGTGTAACTAAAATATTTGCTCAAGCACAGAAAGTCTGTTGATGTGACTGTTTTTGACTGTTTTTCCTCTAATTTCATGTATTAGCCTATACAGTTAATCTTAACTTCATGTAGAAGTTATTTATTTACAGTGATTGTTCATGTTTGTAGCTCAGTAAAATCTGTGTAGATATTCATAATAGATTAGCACCTTCTTACACAAAGCTTATGTCAGCTTTTTCGCCAGCTTCTTGTTCGAATTTTCCCGTTCCACCTTAAATGGTGCCTCAGCCATCAGAAAGTAACTGCTGCACCATTTAAGGTGGAACGGAAAATTCAAAGAAGAAGCAGGCTGATGGGAAGCCAGCTTCAGCCTGTCCTCCTTACTGTGTTATGGGGTGTTTATTTTTATATGCATAAAGATTAGAAGTGATTCACACATTGATGGATTTGCTGATGTGTGTCTGATTGTGTTTCTCGCGCTAAACTCGGTTTTTAATGTCAGCTGCAGACTGAATCCTCTCCTGCTGCTCTGGATAACCAGCACCGTCACAGTTATTAAATAGAAATAAAACCTACCGAGAGCAGCTCATGTGTCCTAGATTAATCTTTGTCTGAGGATTATAACTAAACAAATTCAGTGAAATCGGCTAAGTGATATATGGCCGATTTAATCACGAGAACTCATCATCTCTCCATAGAAGTGTATTTGTTTACAAGCGGATCTTGACCGCTCCAACATGGCGGACACGCAGACGCATCGCTGCAGACAAGGCGATGTGTAGCTATGTATATCTATGGCACAGTGCACTGCTACCCAACTAACCAGCCCAACAACACATTTACACACCTCCAAACTATTAATCCCAGCTTTTTACAGGGTTTCAGTCTGTCTCACTACTGTCTCTGCGCGTTATTATACGTGATTAATGTTTATATTAATTTGGAGAACTTTATTATAATTTAATAATTTAAAGAGTTCCACAAAAACTTTAAACCGTGTTTAAACGTGTTAGGTTGACATGCAGCTTTGTGCTGAGATTCAAAAAGCAATAAAGAAAAGACAAGTGACTGTCGGAGTTTCTGACCAATTAAAACACTGCAGAGGAGGAGCTGAGCGGTCGGACTCCGCCCCCTGTAGCGCGCGCTTTCTCCAAGCGTTCGATTGGACTGTTTGAATCCAAACACGACCGTTAGGAGCGGTTTTAGTACTCGGCGCTCACAGCGCCAACCCTTCTCCTCACAGCGTTAACGTCCGCTGTCCGAGCAGTTCATTGATCGCGTTTATAGGAAAATCTCTCCAAAATGCCGGGCCTACATCATTTCCCGATGTTCTGGTGCTGTGCGCCGGCCGACATCGCAGATTTCAGCTCTGAAAATCGAGGAGTTTTCGCCGAAAGAGAGTAACGGCGCCGCGAGTGGAGCGAGGACTGACGGCTACGCGGTGAAGCTCACTCAAACCCTGCATTTAAAAGCTGAGGAGTGGCGAGACTCTTAACCGGGCAGTTTAACTGAGCTCTGCAGTCCGATAACTCCGCTGCGTCTCCGGGTCAATCCGAGAGCAAAATCACTAGCGGTAGCGTTCGCTGGCTAGTTAGCTAGGCTAAAGTTAGCGCTATCTGAGGCGATACGTCTGCGCGTGCGCCACGTTAATACACCGCGTACTGAGATATGATGAGTCTCATGATTAAATCGGCCATAACTTAGCCGATTTTCACCAAATCTGTCTGAGGATTATAACAAAACTTGGATTAGAAAAAAAACACAGAATGATGAAGCTGGTTAATAATAATAATAATGGTTTGAACCACTCATAATGTTGCTAGTTGCTTTAGTTCCACTCTGAATGACTTTGTTTACATCTCAAGAAATTATGCAAAAATGACTAATGTGAGTTTAGATACCATTATGTTTGAATATGTCTTTGAGGTGTTGCTTTTATTAATATTAAATATGTAGTATTGCTGGAGTATTAAAAATAGTAATCCCGTATACAGGGTGTCCCAAAAAGTCTGAGATCATTTTGTAGTCTAATAACAGCCAATTCTCCCTTAAATGATCTAAAATTTTTAGAAAATGTGTAAAAACTAACCAAGTTTAATTTTTAATTTTTTTTTTTTTCAGGTTGAAGAGTGGCGTTCACTAGAAATGAAAAGGCATTTTATGCTCAAACAGAAAATTCAATAAAAATGCATGAACTGGAAGGCAGATTTGGATATGGCACAAACACAGCGTGTCTGGCAGGAGCTGGACTACCGACTTGAGGTGTGTCACGTCACACGCGGTGCGCATATTGAACATTTGTGAAGCTGTGAAATCGGTTATAAAATCTACATCTCTCTGAATTTCTTGTTCGAATTTTGATAAATAAATCTTGTATTGTTCAACATGAAGCCTATTTAATTTTGTTTGCTACGACATGTAGTTGCTCAGATATTCACATCTGAAATGATGTCAGTTTTTTTGGGACACCCTGTTGCTGTAATAGTGAGGTTTCGGGACGAATGCAGCAAAACGGACATGGTGCAGTTACAGTACTGTAGTTTGTAATGCTGCAGGTCAAATGCAGTA